ACTCAAGAGTGTCTGTAAACGTGTCTCCCAGCAGAAACTGCTCACAGGGTCCTGCTTCATTTTAGTAGCTTTGATAAGGTCATAAAAATCTTTCAGGGAAAATTCAACAGCAGTTAATATTCACGATGTTTCCAGCCAGGAGCTCCCAGGAAGTCACCCCACCAGACCATGACCCACGTCCTGGCACACCTGTCAAGAAACTGCATTAATACAACACCTGTACCCTAAAGAGAAGGGCCTCGTTATATGAGGAAGGTCTAAGGAGCCTGAGGTCTCTGCAAACCTAAAGTGATGGGTGCTATCCTGACCCTGCTGTGACACTAGACCCTCTCCACACACCTTACTAGAGAGGGACCTCTAGCCACCATGGTATGCATCAGGTTCTTCACCTCAGAGACAGAGTTCCTAGGGTTTCTCCGGAGCTGGACTCTGCTCCCTGTGGACCCTTAAGTGCCTCAGAGCCTGTATGAGGTGGAATCCTAGATCCCAAGGATTTCGCGGACTCAGCTTCTGACTTCTGGTCACCTTGCACACCAGGCTCTCAGTCTGGTATTTTTGGCGGCCATCCCAGAGAACAGAAAGGCTAAACTTTAGTTCAAATGTATGCAGGCCCCGGCATTCTGGCCTCTCCAACTGGGACCTCACGGAAGTTCTCAGTTCTAGTAATCCAAACCTGTAGGCCGCAAACCCCAGGCTTTCAGTCCCCGGGACCCGACCCTATCCGCATTTCTCCGCCAGATTCTCTGTGCACTGGAGACCCAGAAAGAAAACCGGCCCAACTCACCATGCTGTCAGCAGTACAGCACCGGTACTACTCCAGGATAGGCGCTGGTCTACGGAGGCTGCGTTGTCTCCTGGCAACCCGAACGAGATCCCGCGTTGGTTCTCAAATAATCGCGAGATTCTCCTAGCTCCGCCGCCCCACCCACCCCCAGAGACCTCGACAACGGGGAGTGCGTCCATAACGACCTGCCAGAAGAGATAAACAGCTACCGCTGCCCGAGGTTGCCTTCAGTGTATTACTAGTCTCCTTCCCGCTAGAATTTGAGCTACAAGAGACGACTGTGCTTCCTTCGGTTCTCCAGAGAGAATGGATGTCTGAATGACTACTCTGCCACCCAAGCTCATTTCCCAAACTGGATTCAAATAAGAGCCCGCTCCTGCGGTTCCTCCACCTTGCCCCGCTTATGAAAATTCCTTTCACATGCTGCCCTGATGAGACTACTGAAAATGCGTAGCTGGGCTTCCAGAAACTCGGCAAGGAAAGAGAAAGGCTGGGAGTGTTATTTTATGTGTGTAATCGCTGCACCGGGGAAGCTGAGAAGAAAACTGCATGGGTCGAAAACTAGCCTTGGCTACATGGTTCTAATCCAGCCAGAGCTACAGACCAAGACCCTGGCTCAAAAGGGCGGTGGGGGTGGCAAGAAAGAAAAGTGGCCTGGCAGGAGTATTTGCAAAGACATGCTGAGTGTCCTGGTTTCAGTCCCCAGAAACAGAAAAGGCAGCAAGTCACACATCGCTGTCTGCTTTATGAATGAAGATTCCACGACCTTAACTGGATGCAGAAGTCCACATCCAACCAGGAGAGAAAGGCTTGCTCAGTAGTGGGGATCTGGGAGTCATAGTAATGAGTTCCTCTTGTTTGTCTACCCACCCACCCTACTACTCACCCTGCCCCTTACCTTGCGTGCCCACGCGCAAGCGCGAGCACACACACACACACACACACACACACACACCGATAGAGCTTTTTGGAAAAGAATGGCCAGCTGGAAGAACAGCACTGAATCCTTATAAACGCTCAAACAGTGACTTATTTATAGTAAACCTTAACAAAGAGCCAACATGACTGCCAGACTGCTTTCTGTCAGTGAACTCTAAGGTGAGCACAGAGGGGCAAGGGGTTAGGAGTCTCCCAGAGGAGATTTGACAAGAGACAGTGAAGTAGCAGAGTCAGTAAGTAATTACTTAGCCCTTAGCCACAACATGACAGGTGCTTCAGGTTGATTTGCATTTTTGTTTCATTAGTCTACTGGGAAATCCTGAATTAAACAAATGTACTAACACCTCCTTTAAGCTGGGTGGTAGTGGCACACTCCTTTAGTCCCCAGCACTTGGGAGGCAAAAGCAGCCAGATCTCCCAGTTCGAGGCCACCCTGATCTACAGAGGGAATTCCAGGACAGCCAAGGCTATACAGAGAAACCGTGTCTCAAAAAAAGCTACAACAAAAGAAAAAAAACTCCACAAAAAACAAACAAAAGCAAAAAACAAAACCCACTTGGTTGTCTAAATAAACCACTACAGCCCACTGCATCAACACAATGAAGGCATGGATATTTGTGTAACAAATTGGTCTTTTAGAAGTAAATGTTGAAATATTTGAAAATGAAATGAATGATAAGATGTGTATAGGAATTTGCTTCAGAACAATTCAGTGTAGAAGAAGGTGGCTGAACACAGAGAAGGTGATTTATAACCTGGTTACTTGTTGGATTGAGGTTATAGGGGGTCATAGGATGTCATTCCTCTCTATTGTGTGTTTTGAGAAGGTTCTTCACAGAAATTAAAAGATAAAACAGACACTGGCCTCAAACATATCACTTGTCAATAACCAGCATGGAAATCTTTGACAAGAGCCTGTTTCTATCATTTATTTATCTTTCAAATGGAAATCACCACTAAACAAAAATCACTGTTAACAGATAATGACTATGGCTTGGAGAAATGACTCAGTAGTTAAAGAGTACTGACTGCTCTTCCAGAGGACCCCGGTTCAGTTCCCAGCACTCACATGGCAGCTCACAACTGTCTGCAGCTCCAAGATCTGACACCTTCACACACCGACATACATAAAGGCAAAACACCAATGCACGCGCACGAGCGCGCACACACACACACACACACACACAGGCATGCACACACATACACACCATATTGACTATGTAACAAGGAAGCCTAAAGCACAATGACAATACAGTGACCTAATTGGTTTTGCTCATGAATCTGAAACTTGACTATGACTTAGTGGGGCAACTTACCCAGCTCCCTCATCACTCTCTTCCTCGAAAACTCAAAAGTAGCACTTGGAACCAGCTTTGTAGGCCAGCTGTTGGCTGGGATCTCAGAGTGTCAGCCAGAACATACACAAGTAGAGTCTGGGTAGCCTGGTTTGCTCACCACGTGATGACCTGGTTTTTACAGGAGCCTTCCAATAAAGCTGGACTTTTTTTTTTTTAATGACCTAGCCTTGGAAGTCACATGGTACCACATCTACCACACTTCACTGGCCAATGCAGTTACAGGCTCTGACAACACTGAAGCCAAAGTGTCTTAAAGGAAATGGTTTGTTTGTTGAGGTAGGGTCCCATGCAGCCAAAGCTCACCTCAAAGCTGCCTTGTAACCGAGGATGACCTTGAACTCCCTGTTCCTCCTTCCTCCACATGTGAAGTGTTGGAATTACAAGTGTGTAGCACCATGATCGGCTCCATGACATTTTGACTGCCATAGACATTTTGGAAAATACAATGTGCTGCCCCAGCTGACTAGGAGTGGCTATGCCCAAACACTGTGGTCAGTGGTCACTTGTGCTAACCCTACACTCTAGCTTAGCCTCAGGGAGGGAAGTAATGACCAAAGAATGACCATGGATTCAGCTAGTCCTAGTGGAGCTTTAACCAGCAGGTGGATGAGTTTCCTTGTTTTGTAAACTAAAGAAAAAGAGAACCAGTAACTTTCTGTAATTGGCCTCCAGGCTCAAAGACCACAGACTACCCAGTAGCCACTAGATCTGGGCAGGAAGCCAGAGCTTTGACTCAGACTCTATTGAATGAATGAAGCTGTTTGGTATGTCCTTCTAGCCATCCATTCTGTCCAAAGCAGGACCAGATTTATCCATTAGTTCACACTCCTCTCAGCCTTTTCAGTTATGAATAACTAACTCATCCTCCCTGATAGTTAATTTGTCTTGTTTTGTAGTTTTTGTTTGTTTGTTTTTTGTAAAAGAGCAAGAGGATTTTAAGTTGGGCCTTCTGCCTTCTAGCCCTAGGGAAAGTTACTGCCTGTCTCTGAGCTCAGCATCCCAGATCTCTGGGAGGAGTAAGGAGACACTGTGTGTTTTAGGGTCATCACTGCTATGATGAAACACCATGACCAAAACAACTTGGGGAGGAAAGGGTTTATTCTGCTCACACTTCCACGTCACAGTTCACCATCAAAGGAAGTCAGGGCAGGAACATGGAGGCAGCAGCTGGTGCAGACACCATGGAGGAACTTGGCTCCCTCCTCATGACTTGCAGAGACTGCTTTCTTACAGAACCCGGACAACCAACCGAGGGATAGCACTCTCCCACAGCAATAATTAAGAAAATTCCCTACAGCTGGCCATTGTGGAAGCATTTTCTTAATTAAGGTTCCCACCTCTCAGATGACTTCAGCTTGTGCCAAGCTGACATAAAACTATCCAGTACACTGCACAGTGCAGTGCGAGCAGGCCTGGTGCAGGTCTAGCCTTTAGAGATGAGACTCCAATTGTGGGCTCTCAATATATATGAGGCCTCCTTTTTCCAGGTCACCCCACCACTACCACCTTGAACTCTCAATATGGATTCATATAGCATTAATTAGATCCACAATTCCAGGCTCATAAGCTGTGGGGTCCGGTGCTGCTTTGGCTCTTCTGCCACCACCTTTCCTATCTCCGCCAGGCGCCTCACGTAGTTGGTGCCCCACAAATACCTATGGATGCCCTCGAAGTGTGTCAGTGCGCAGGAGCCCTGGACTGCAGTGGCAAGCTGTAGCCCTGGGTCCGCAAAGAGCTATATCTGTGCTGGAGGGGCAGGGAGTGTGGGGATGGGGGTTGTTGGCCAGGTCGGCAGGGGGCGCCCGAGGAACAGGGCGGGGCCGCACCTGTGCTGCTGGCTGCTAGAAATGGGGAGGGGACCGGCGCCCGAAGCAGCTGCGTGCCCCGCCCCGCGGGCTCCTCCTCGCTGCCGCGGCCCCTAGGCTGCTGCCCCGATGCGCTGCTCTCGAAGCCGGGACCCAGTAGTCGCCAGAGCAGTTGGGATACCCGGGCCGGCTTCCGCCGCCGCTGCCCACACCCCTCGAGGACCCCATTGGCCGCATGGAGTCTCCGGAGAGCGCTGGTCTGGGAGGTGAGTCCGATCCAGGTCCTCCGATCCCCAACAAGAAACCGCAACCCCTCTTTCTACCTACTGGCCGGCTGCTCCCGAGGCCTGGAGAACAGCGGGTACCTCAGGAGTCCGCCGGTCCGACTGAGAGCTAGGGGCGGAGGAGGGGGCCGGGCCAGCGCCTTGGAAACCTAAACCTGCGGGGACCCAGCTCGGGAAGCACAGACTGCATCTCTTCCCCTGCTCTTCGAGCTCCGGGTTCAGGAAGCCTTGCTAACTGCCTTCCTAGGCGGTGGCGAGGGGTTTCGACCTGAACCCCTTACTAGCCAAGGCTGGGAGTGGGGGGAGGGGCGTGCCGGGACCGGAGTTAGGGTCTGGAGAGGCGATCGGTGGCGACGATGCTACCGCTTGTTCACGCGTAGGCTTTGTTCGCCCCAGCGGCGAAACCGGGAGGAATGACAAGAGGCGGTAGGGGGCCTGGGGCTCCCGGCTGAGCTGGGGTTTTGGTGAGGTCATGGCGCATGCACCCGAGCTCTTGGTGCTGCAGGACAGCGTTGTCTGTGCTGCCCAGCTGCCACATATTTGGAAGGGAAGGTGTGAATGGTATGTTCCTTCATCAGCCTCTCCCAGCAGTTGGAGACCCTTGAGGGTTAAGGTCCTACCGCGAATCTGCCCTCCTGGGAGTCAGCCCACAGGCAACTAGCTGATCATAAGGGGGAAACTCTTAAAACCATCCCTCCCCCACTTCTCAGCTTTCCAGAAAGCTTTTCAGGGATCAATCGCTGTGGGAGTTTGGATGTAAGCTGAACAATCCTTCACTTGCCTAGCCATGCCCAACACCTCTAGGATTTCCTGAAGGTTCCATCCCAAGGAGCCACCAGGTGCCTGAGAATTTGGCCTGCTTGCCATTCCACTTATCGATAACCCAGCCACACGATGGCTTCTTCTGAAGCCCAAAAGGGCTGACCCCTTGGAAGCTGTCTTCAAGCTGTTGTCTGTGTCTGCAGTTGGGGAGTAATGTCCTGTTTGAGAACCCTTATCCTCCCAAGCACCAGACACCCTCAGCCAGCGGGATTGGTTGTGCTTTTTTGTTTTGTTTTTATGGAAGATCCGATTTCTTGTTATTTAGAAAGTTCCAGGACCCTGGGTCTTCCCAGCTCCAGCTCGGTGGGTACCAGAAGGTAGATGGTTTGGGAAGCAAGGACTTGCTTGCAGAGCTCAGGGCTATTTTTGAGCTGTGTGATGTTGGCAACCTGCCTGTGCCCCCTGAGCCTTGGTTAGCATGGCTGTCAATACAGACAGCCCCTTGGATAGGGTAGAGGTTTTTCTTTCCTTCTCTGGAGAAAGGGAAAAAATGCCCAAAAAGCCTAGACAGAGATGGAATGAGTTGTTTCTGATGTATAAATTACTGGCTGAGGGCCTCAGACACCAGATTCATTGAACAAATACCTGTTCTCTACAAGTACTGTGCCTGCTTGTAGGGAGGCAAAAAACTAAGAGGGCTTATGCTCTTGAAACCTCTAGCCATGTTTTCTTGTCTGCATCTTGAGCTAGCGAACTCTACTTGGTGGGTTTCAAAAGGTCTCATGTGGGTGACTATGACTGTCATATATGAGTTATACTTCATTTCGGAGAGTGTGAAACATGCAAAAGCAGAGCCCAGTATGATGGTGGTCTGTATGCCACCTGCTAGAGTCACGGCCAGGTTAGCTCATACAGACCTTAGCAACCTACCTTCGGTGTTTGGCATCAAATCTAGACTCATTTTCATTAACAGCCATTGAAGAAACTATCTCCAAAATATACAATTTTTATAAAGTATGATTAAGCCAGGGTCTGACTATATAGCGGTGGCTACACTGGCACTTGGTATGCAGACCAGGCTTGCCTCAGACTCATAATCCACCTGCCTCCACCTCCTGGGTGCTGAGATTAAAGGTGTGCACCATCATGCCAAGCCTAATATGCAATTTTTGTACCTAAATAATTTTGGGGGAAGGGGACAAGGCCTCATTATATAGCCCCAGGTGACCTGGAGATCAGAGATCTGCCTGACCCTTGAATGCTGGGATTAAAGTAGTGTTTGAGTAGCTTGTCCCTCCAGGCCCAGCTACTAAATTCTTAAAAGTGTGAAGACCATGGAGTTAAAGCATATGCATGAAAGTGTACAAAACTCCCTCCGTGAGAAATCCACCTGTGCCTTTGGAGAGCAAGTCTCTGCTTCTTCCTCATTTCCAAGGGATCCCCAGAGTCTGAAGAGAAAGAGGTTGTGGCCCTGCACTGGAGACTGGTGGTATGGATTCATGGAGAGAGATGCTGGGAAATGGGACTCAGGTGGCCCCTTTGTGACCATCTCTCCCTCCTGGTCATTTTGTTTACATTCATTTATTCATACCATTAACTCATTTGTTCACTGTTCAGTGGCATAAAGCATGGCCAGGCCTTTGGAGCACAGCAGGATCTGGGACTAGTTTCCAAGTCATAAATGTACTAGAAATAGGGCCACAACAAAGTGTTATGTGACAAGTTAGCCCTTAGGAAACCTGGTAGGCAGGAAACTCAGCACCACAGCTCCTATCTCCACCCACAAATTAGGGTGGGGGCAGCAGCCCCCTAATAGAAATTGTATGGGACCAGAGCCAATGGTCACTGTAGTGTCCTTTCCAGGGCATCAGACACCCACCTCCCTCTACCCTGTCCAGGGTGACTCCAGGAGATCTGAGCCCATTCAGCTACTGGCTCAGATAGTCTGCCAGTATTTGACCCTGCCCTGGCCTGCCTAACATGGTGGCTCTACTTCCTAACTGGGAAGATTTTGTCTGTGGAGAATCTGTTCCTTCTCTATACAATACCTTGCAAAGAAGGTTCAGATTGACCTGGATGATTCTTAGCACAGTCATTTATTGTGGGGCCTTTGAGCCATCCATTCAGACAGACAGAGATGAGGGTCATCCATTCATCCACCCATTCATTCATTCATACACACAGATGGGGATCCTAGGCTTCCTCTGTCCTGTTCAAACTCATGAACCACCTGCTGCCACTTCCCAACTGCTGGGATTGTAAGTGTAGCCACTACGCCAACCTCAACATTGGTCAGTTTACTTGTTTGTAGACAGTTTGGTGACAATTCTATCTTCCTCATTCTCCCCTGCCCCCCTCAGATTTGGTTTAGAACAAAGCACCAGGATTTACAGAATAAAGACAGGAACAAGGCCAAAGCAAGATGGAAAAAACCAAAACTAGATACATGATGATACTTTAAAGACTTTACAGATAACACTTGCCTAGTGTGCATGATGTTCTTGGTTTGATCCCTGGTACCCCACACAAAGAGGTACTGTATCTCACTGACCCTAAAATTTCATGGACAGAATATGAAAAGACATAATAAGGCTACTGTTGTCTTGTCCCAGGGGCTGAATACTCATGTGATTCCAGGATCTCTAGTGAGGGGTGCAAGACAGGGGCCATACTTGCTATGTAGCTAAGGTTCTAGATGGGGTCCCCATCTCAGCACAAAACCCCAGAAAATAAAGGAAGTGGGAAAGTAGCAGTATTTCTTCCCTTCTACCTGGACTGGGTCCTTACTGACCTCATAAAAATACAGCTAGACACTCAGTTCAGAACCCTTCAGTAGTTTTTCCCAGTACACTCTAATAGAACCTATAGTTCAGAGGTTCACTAGTCCTGCACTCAACTCTACTGTGGCCTTCTACCCATCGCCCTGCTCCTGAGCTCCTGGCTGCATCTGAGATCCATACTCCCAATAGGTCCTTGCCTCCGATAGGAAATGATTGAAGTGTTCATGGGTGCTGCAGTCCCACATCTGCCGCCAACACATTTCATCAGGAAAGACAGGCTAGTCTGACATGCAGCTGTCGACAGTGGGAGCCTGCACTGTGGCCTCCTCAGTTCAACTCTGGCTCACACCAGCAGCTGCTCTTCTCTGTGTTCGCTGTTCATCACCCAGGCTGCCAAATCTAATCCCATGGGACATCTGTGCACCCCAGCACAGATCCACAGATCACACAAGGGGTTTCATCCACACTGAATGTGGATGTACTCAGTACTCAGTTACACACTGAGTGCCTTCAGGTGGGGGTCAGACACACCACGAAGGTCCTAGAAACCAGAGAGGAGTCTCTGGGAAGAGCCCTGGAGAACAGGGCAGGGAAGCAAGGAAGGTAAATACACTCTCCTCTGGGAAGATGGTAACTTAAGGGACAGGCACAAGGGGACACACCTGACTAGCTATTGGGATCTCTGGCAGGGTGTGAAGAATGACAAGGAGGCTGCTGAGGGGGATGGGACAGGGAAGGAGATGAAGGGTAACTGCTAGGGACACTGAACTACCCCATGGGAGAAGCTGCCAGGATTGTGTATGGAGATATAGGAGAGTCCAGCGCTCCACTAGGTAATAGCTCCAAGCACTGGAAAGGAAACCACTAGTACTAGTGTGGGACTGAGGCACACAGTCTCCATCCCAGCAGATCCCTGAGGGACTCTCATTCTCCAACAGAAAGTTGTTAAATAAGAAAAACAAGCAATCCATTCTTTGAAAAGAACATTCACCACACTGCAATGGAGCTGGTAGTGAGGGGTGACGGGATAGCAAGGATGCCACTTCCTACTTCACTTTTTCCACTTGAGTCCAAATACTACAGAGGGTTTTTATAATGAAGTCAGTCCCCAACAGAAAACCAGAAACTCACAGGCCACCCTTCATTAAACCCTAGGCCAGCCAAAACATTGACAAACCGCAGTATACAGACAATAGAGCCTTACACTGGCAAACCTCATGTGGAATTCCCATACTAAGAGGTCCTTGGAGTTGCAGTGCTGAGTAGTCTGTCCATCTGTCCATGCTCATGTATCCTTTGCCTAGTCACCCAGAGAGGACAGGGCCCGAGAGGAAAAAGCAGCATCTCCACATCCTTGTCCAAGGCCATGAACCAGCCCAGGAAGCCCTCACACTCTTCCCCACTAGCCACAGATCCCAGGCCTGGAGGGATGTGGGGGGTTCCTATGAGTGTGCAGGTGACTGTCTTTTTTTTTTTTTTTTCAAGACAGGGTTTCTCTGTGTAACTTTGGAGCCTGTCCTGGAAACTCGCTCTGTAGACCAGGCTGGCTTGAACACACAGTGATCTGCCTGGCTCTTCCTCCTGAGTGCTGGGATTAAAGCTGTGCACCACCACTGCCCAGCTGACACTATGTCTTGGTTGCAGAGATTGTTAAAGAAGTCAAGGTACCACAGGCTGCCCTGAGTGTTTCAGCTCATGAGACAGGGGACACTTGCCACACACCTGTGACAGAGGGAGAGGAAGTTGGCATCCCAATACCAGCACCAGGATTCCTGCAGGTTACGGAGAGGAGGCGTAAGTATCACTGACAAACCCAGCAGCATAGAACCCCAATCATCGGGGACAAAGCAGTCTGAGTTGAAAGGCAGCAACACTGCCCAGTGATGGGCAACTGTACATGCAGTTACCCCATCTGCAAAATGGAGGAGCTGAGAAAGCTCTCCAGTCTGGAGTATGCAGAGCTATTAGGGCTTGGGTTTGCCTGGGTCTTGTCGAGTATTGGCTTTACAGAAAGTGCCAGTTCAGGGGATGGCTCAATGGGTAAACTGACTGCAGTGTAAACTTAAGACCCTGAGTTCAGATCCCCAGCACTCCGGTAAAAAGCAAACAACAAACAAAACAAATAAAAAAGCCCCAGCAACCACGTAGTGGCTCACAACCATCTATAGTGCCCTCTTCTGGTGTGCAGTTGTACATATAGATAGAATACTATATATAATAAATAAAATCTTAAAAAAAAACAATCATGGTGGTACATGCTTATAATCCATTAACTGGGGAGGCAGGAACAAAGAGAATCCCTGGGACTTCCTGGCCAGCCAGTATAGCCAAATTGGTTAGATGAGGATCCCCATCTCAAAAAGTAAAGCAGCAAACAACTGAGTTAGATACCCATCAGCTTTGGCCTGCATACATGCATGGACATATGTATGAAAACACACACATGAACCCAAAGTGCCAGGTCACACATGTGGGAAGCCTGTGGGAAGAAACCCTAAGGTTTAGTCGCCTCATCAGGTGAGACTGAGAGGTAACTGTCTCCTGCAACCCCCAGAGCCTCTGAGCAGTGTCTCCTCTCTGGAGGTCCACTTTGATCTCCTGGACCTCACGGAGCTGACTGACATGTCTGACCAGGAGCTGGCCGAAGTCTTTGCAGACTCCGACGACGAGAACCTTGCCACTGAATCCCCAGCAGGTGAGGCTGCAAACTGGCTTAGGGAATAGGAACATATAGGAGGTGGTCTAGGGAAGTCCTGGGGCCCCTGCTCCCCTTAGGTCCCTACTTAGCAAAAAACTTTCCAACCAACTATGTATTTAGTACTTGTCCTCACATTTCATCTCATTTACTTTCTTCATCAATATTTCCCACATGTGAAGGAATTTCCCTCCTATCATATCTACTTCTCCTTGACTTCTCCAAATGAACAACAGAAAGCCAAAGCTATTATTCCCTGAAAATAACTTACTGGATGTGGGTTTTAAGTTAACCAAGCACTAAGAGAGGGGGACATTCACCAACCTGGGCCCCTCCTCAGATCATCTGACTGGCTAAACCTCAGGAGGGGAAGGGGTGCTATCATCTGGAGCCAGGTATGTGGGTAAGACTGTAGCCTCATCATCTTCCCACCCTCTCCTGAATCCCATGCTAGCAGGAGATGTTCCAATCCCTATAGGCAGAACATAGGGTTTGCCACAAATCCTTACTGGGGACAAAGCCTTCAGTCTCCAATTAATTTTTTTCCGGGGCGGAGGGTTTCGAGACAGGATTTCTCTGTGGCTTTGGAGACTGTCCTAGAACTAGCTTTTAGGCCAGGCCGGTCTCAAACTCACAGAGATCCACCTGCCTCTGCCTCCTGAGTGCTGGGATTAAAGGCGAGTGCCACCACTGCCCTGTCTAGTCTCCAATTAAAAAAACATTTTTTGATTTTTCTTGACACGGTTTCTCTGTGTAGTTCTGGCTGTGCCAGAATTTACTATATACACCAGGATGACCTCAAACTCAGATCTGCCTGCTTCTAATTCCTGCCTTCTAGAAGTGCTGATTTTTTTAAAATTTTATTTATTTATTGTGTAGATACAGTCTTCTGTCTGCATGCCAGGGGAGGGCACCAGATTTCATTCAAGGTGGTTGTGAGCCACCATGTGGTCGCCGGGATTTGAACTCAGGACCTCTGGAAGAACAGTCAGTGCTCTTAACCTCTGAGCCATCTCTCCAGCCCGTGCTGATTTTTTTTTTAAAGATATGGTCTCACTGTGTGGTGGTAGTGCACATCTTTAATCCCAGCATTTAGTAGGCAGAGGCAGGCAGATCTCTGAGTTCAAAGGTCACCTGTCTACTGAGTAAATTCTAGGACAGCCAGAACTACACAGTGAAACCCTGTCTAGAAAAACAAAAACAAAAGACATGGCTGGCCTCACTATATAGCCCCTGGCTGACCTCTCTTTGTAGACCAAGGGGCTTCAAACTCCAGAGACCCAACTGCTTCTACCTCCCAAGTACTGGGATTAAAGTCACCATTACACCTGGCATTCCAACATGTTTAAAAAATATACCAATGTGACCTTCAGCTGCCCACTGTGTGCTATGGGGTAGGAAAAGCAAAGGAACTGAGTCCTATACCCCACCAGCTTCAGCTTCTCCCACCCCAAGTCAAAATGTGAACACATGACCTGGGATAAGACCTATACTATGCACCAAGGGCCTCATTAAAGTCAGTTACCATCCTTTTTCACTTTTCTTTTGAGACAAGGTCTCACCATGTAGCCTGTTGCCCTTAAACTCAGAGATCTACTTTTGTCTGCCCTCCAAGTGCTGGGAAGTCACCATCCTTACTAAAGGTACCACCAGCCCCAGCAAGGTCCTGCAGATCAGCGGCTAAAATGCTTCCTGGAGGTTGGGGGGTGTGGCCTATATATATATTGGGAGCTGAGGGCCCTGAGATAGGACAGCTACATGGAGGAGGACCATGTGTTCCTGTCCATCTCTCCTGTAAAATGGAGCTCTGCCTGCCTAACGCTGGTGGCATCCCTCCTTAGCTCTACCTTCCCTCAAACCTGCAAGTGTGTGTTGACCAGGAATGCCCATGACAGCTGTGACTGGACAAGTAGAGTGGGTAACTCAACTCCAGCCCAACTGTGTCTCTAGCCCCATACAGCCTGCATGGAGAGGAGCTGAAATCTCATGATGGGACAGACTATCAGACTTGCAGGGCAACAAGTTATACTAAGCCACTTAGGAAGTCAAAATTTTGGCAGCCTCCTATCAGGATCATATAGGGGATAAGCAGATACTCTCAAGACTTAACTTGAGCCAGGCATAATGGTGCATGGTTTTTTTTCCCAGCACTCAGGAAGCAGAGGCAGGTGGATCTCTGAGCTTGAGGCCAGCCTAGTCTGAGGCAAGTTCCACTCCAGCCAAAGCTATAGTGAGACTCTGTCTCAAAAAAACCAAATAAATGAAAAAACAAAAAACTTAGCCTTGACTCTAGGGACATCAGAAAGGCCCTTGTCCATCATATAAAATCTTCGGCACAGTGGCAGACACCAAGAAAGCATATGTACATCCAGAAGCCATATCAACAAGACTGGCAGAGCCACAGTGTAGAGCTCAGCCACTCCACCCCCCATTTTACTGAATTCTAGACTGTTTTCTTACCAGGTCTGCACCCACTATCTCGAGCTGGCTGCCTACGCTCCCCCTCCTGGACAAAAGCAAGGGCGGAGCAGAACCGTGAGAAACAGCCCCCAAGTGACCCAGAACGGAAAGGCACAGTTGTGGACTCTTTCCTCACTGTGGAGGGGCCCGAGGAAGATTAGCCCAACTCCATCTGTTCCAGAGTTGCTGAAGGGCTGGGCCAGACCACCATGATGGCAAATCAGGACAGTACTGACGCAAAAGAAGCACTCTGTCAACTCCAAGTCAAAGTCTGGGTGCCAGGCACAGGCCTCTGGGCACCCCAGCACAAGCACAGCCCAGTGGCCTTAGGTCCAGCTGGTTCCTGGACCCTGAATCAGGGATGACAGACACTGTATGAAATCTCTGCCTTGGGATGAGAAGGAATGGAGTGGATAATGGTGGCCTCCATCTTCTAAAAACTTATCTCTAAGACAAGACTATTTCTAGTGAGATTCCAAGTAGGTTCAAGGTATGGAGATCGAAGCCCATGAGAGCTGCCCAGGAACCTGGAGGGGTGTATATCCAACCTCAGTTAGTGAGCTCATAAGCCCAAAGTAGATTCAGTGGTCAGTCATGGGCTGGCTCTGCTGTCCAGCCAAGCGATGGGGACAGGTTACTTTCCTAAAACTTCCACCTTGACTTAAAATGTGCACCCTTCCTCTGTCTTGGGCAGGTACCACTGTTTCCAGTCTCCTCCCCAGGCTTGCTTCTCTTTGTCTGTGGATGTGACAGCTCAAAGGTTGAGAAATCACCCCATGTCTTCTTTACTTCAGAACACCAAACCTCAGTGACAACTCCCAGATTGCTCGGAGGGACAGAGTACCATGTCTCCATTCCTGTCATAAGGGCATATACTGTACCATATCCCATTGCTTAGCTCAACCACCCACATAGCCTGTCAAATGCTCAGTGGGAGGCTGACACTGTGGATCTGTCTCGGGAGCAGTTCAGGGGAGGCAGGGCCAATCTAGCCACCCACTCTGCTGTGAGATGTTAGACTCTCAGTTTAGACACGCTCAACACTACTTTCATGTGCTCAAAGACAAAACAGACTGCTGCTCTGACCATGAATCAAAGACTGGTCTTAAAATAAAGGTTTACTTGCTTTTTGTCCCCAGGCAAACCTGTCCTGCTGCCCACTGTCTTCTGAGGAAGACAAGACTTTTGATCTTCATTTGCAGTGAATGCCACTGGGGGAAAAATGCCCTGGGCTGCTTCTGGAGGGTGGGAGCAGCATCCAGGATGCTCCCACTTCAGAGCCACTCTGCCTCTGCACTGTTGACCCCTAAATGTGGGTTATTTCTGCCTGAATCCTGAAATGAAAACCAACCCTGGTTTCCAAAGGACACAACCCAGCAGCTGCCTTTTAATCTCATGGTATCTGTGTCCCCTTGGCCACACTCCAACCTACCAGGGTCTTACCCCATCATCCACTCTCCCTGCTCCAGCTTCCATGGGGCACATTTACTAAGTGGGATTAAAGTATCACCATCTTTGGATCAGTGGTCCTTCTAGCTGATATCAATGTGCCACTGGGGCTCTGCTGTACTGTTCTAGGCTGTCCTTATTTGAGTTGCATTTTAGGAGCAAGTGCCCTGGATTTCTAGTCCTTAAAGTAACACAGCAAAAGGGATCACTAATACCTACCAACTCTTCCTGTCAACAAAGGTGGTCCGAGCTAAAGGAGCACTCTGCTAAAAGTCACAGGGAAGCCCAAACCTTGCTGTTAAAGTAACCAGTGAAATGAGGTGATTATGAAGCCCGCCAGGAGTGACCACCTTTGTGCAGGCTCAGGTGACCATGACTTTCCACAGTCACCTCAGGTATTCTTGTCGGCAGCCAGGTCTACTGTGTGCGTTTCCTGGGAATGGTGTGATTTCTGACACACTCTAAACATCCATGTCCCTTTCCCCTCTCCTCAGAGGGAGACACGCAGGGAGAATCCCTGCCAACCTTAGTTGCTCTTAGTTCTGAGCAGGGAAGGATGGCTGGCTCACACCTCTTGCTGGCATTTACCTGCTAGCATACTTAACAAGTTTCCATGGCAGGTAGAGCAGCATCAATATGGTGCTACTTGTTCTACTGTCTAGAAAAAAGGAGTGCTGTGGCACACCCCCTGTAAGTCACATAAAATAGACAGGAAAATAGATTCCTTAGATAAGTACCAGCAGAGCAAGAGGATGCTATAGCTCTTTAACCAGACACTTGTGAAAGACAGAGTGCGGGGAGACACCTGAATCAAACAAGGTGAAAGTGTGGGGTGGCAAACCTCCATGGGGACACTGACTGAAGAGGATGGGAAGTGCAGCCCAAGTGTGGTTAGAAGTATGTGACCACCTCAGGATCTGTGACATACAGGAGCCCTGCTCCAGATCTTCTCAAAGGGCAGCAGATGACTGTGGTCTGCTGAGCAGTGACCAGAGTCAGTGGTAATTCCAGTCTCCCAGAGGCATATGCTGCCTATCCTCCACATCCCACTGTCCAGCTCACCATCCCCATAGCCTGTCACATGCTCTGATGGCAGGCTCTGACAATGTAGATCTGCCACAGGAATAGCCCAGGGGACACAGGGCCAACCCAGCCATCCACCCTATCCCACCACTGGTCAATGACTTTGGAAAGAGTTCCACAGATATGCCAATGTAGCAACCACAAATAACCCCATAACAATGCTGACCCTAGAGTCTGTCAGAGTCTACAATGTCACACCCCCCAGGACCCTAAGTAGCTCAAGGAATAATGGTTTGGTTGACACCATGGTACAGATTGAGCCCTGAAGATTTTAAAAATTCAATGCTGGAGAGATGGCTCAGCAACTGCTGTTCTTCCCAGAGGACCTGGGTTCAATTCCCAGCAACCACAAGGTGGCTCACAACTGCCTATATATAGGTCCAGCTCCAGTGGATCCCACAGGTACTGCACACACGATTCACATACATACATGAGGCCAAAACCCCCATACAAATACAATTAGAAATGAAACATTTTTAAAAATTCAGTAATATACATTTTACAAACAGCAAAAGTTGAAAGTGTCTGTTCCTTTGATAAAATTTCTGTTTCTGAGGCTCTGAGGCAAACACAATTCATAAAATGTCCTATACTATGTACAACCAGTGTGTCTGGTCTTTAGCCAGGCCCCAAAGAAAAGTTAAGGACAAAAAGGTTTAAGGCAGAGAGCAGGTCTCCATCCACCCTCCTGACTAGTCACCCAGGAAGCCCGGCAACATCAGTTAAAGGGCTGGAGAGAGAGTTTAGTTGCTAAAGTGCTTGCTGCACAAGCATGAAAATCTACAGTTCCCCATCATCCACATAAAAGCCAGACATAAAGGTATGCCTGTAATCCCAGCACTGGGAAGACAGAGACGGGAGGATCCCTAGAGCTTGTTGGTCTGCAAATCTAGCCAGATTCAGTAAGAGACCCCATCTCAAAAAAAAAAAAAAAAAAAAAAAAAAAAGGTGGATTGGCTGGCAAGATGGCTCAGTGGTAAAGGTGAGACCTGACTCTCACGAGTTGTCCTCTGGCTTACCCATGTGTACCATGGTGCATATGTGTTTGTGGGCATGCATGTGCAGACACAAGCACAACTAAATAAATGGGAAAAAAATCAAGATAGATAGCAACTGAGGAAGGCATACTATGTTAACCTCTGGCCTGCACATAATCATATGGACACATGTAATCATATGCACACATGCATATGTATACATGAACATCTGTAGGTATACATACACTTTTAAAAAGTCAAGGGAGCAAATGGATTCCTCCCCAGGGCCATGAGCAAACTTGAAGAGTTGGCTGATGCAGCTGATGGTACACCCCTGAAATCTGTGATCCCAGGGAACCCTGGAGGAAGTATACACACTCATGGAACCCCAGGACTCCAAGCATTATTAAGGTCTCGAGTGCAGGCCTCACCACATCCCAGATCAACAAAAAAAGATGCCTCTTTTAGCCCAAGGAGGCTTGGGAGTCACAAAGCCCTTCCTTTACTCAAGAGCTGTCCTACAACAAAATGGTTAATGAATAAGCACCAGAGCCAGAGGGCTCAGGCCAAATCAACCCTTTTAGAGATTCAAAAGTGGGGGAGGGTGCTGGGGAAAGGACTGCTATAAAATGGAATGAGATTTGACACTCTATCAATGAAGCAGACAATTCCCAAGGCTAGATGCCAGGTCTGACTAATAAAATTTCTGATGTTGCCATCAAAGCCAGGAATGGTCATACTCCCTCTCGTTAGCCAGAGATCTGCAGGTGTGCTGGCTTTCTTTCCGAAGGTCTGATCAGCTTAAGAACCTAGCCTTCCCTTGATAACTGGCTTACATTTTCATTAATTTTTCACCAAACTTTATCTGTGTTGGGTCAAGGCTTATCCTCTGAGCAATTACCTCAGAGGCAAGCTATAAGGCAGCACACTTGGAAACTGAATCAGTTCTGTGTCTACTGAGAGTGTGATGTAGCTAGTGGCCCTACACATCGAATCCCCAAAAAGACAGCACTCATGGCTTCATAGAAGCCAGCGTCTAACTCCCTCTCCTATCTGAACTGACAGGCCTCTAGGTCCAGGGTCTTTGATCCCTTAGCTATTGCCTTGGCTGGATACTGCCAAGCCCTAGCTCCTCTTCTGTGGATTCTGAATGCTCTTACCTAGAACATTTGTTTGCAGTTGTCACTTGTTTTAATTTGTTTTAGTTACTCTGACAGCTGTTCTGCAAAGGCTGAGCAGTTCCCAGTCAACAGTGGTCATAGGTGGCCACTCACAGGCCATGGCTATGCAGGGCTCTCCTGTAAGCACCGTTCAGTGCCTCCTTCCTCCCGTCCTTGATTCCAGTCTTTCAGTCCCTCAGGAAGGGATGTGTCCTCCTCTAGACTGCCGGTGCCCTCTACAAATTCCTCATAGGTAGACTTCTCTGCAAAGGGCCGAGGGCCCAAGAGCTCTATCATGTCGGCCTTCTCCAGCACTTCTTTCTCCAGGAGTCGCCTGCTCACCTGAAAAGGACGGCCACCCATTAGGCTGCAGTGCCCAGGACAAGGATGTACTACTAGTGGTCCTGATCCAGGACATAACCTAAAGAGACCCACAAAGACCAGCATGGCCTGACCATATCCCAACCTGGGACCCACAACCTGGCTATCTATGAGTGGAGCACCACTCACCTTCTCTACCTGTTCCCGGCACTGTGTAAGCAGCTCCAAGGTCCGATCATAGGCAGACCTGACAAGGCGCCGGACCTCCTCATCAATGAGTTGGGCAGTTGCTTCACTGTATGGCTTCTCCACCATGGTTTCACCTTGTCTGGGGAGGTCAAAGGATACCTGACCCAGCTTCTCACTCATTCCAAACTGCACAATCTGAAGTACAGGAAGAGCCTAGGGTTAGTTGTGTCCAATACAACTGACAGGGTCACACTAGGACACTGCTCCTTACCTGGGCATAGGCACTCTGGGTGACCTTCCTCAGGTCATCCTGAGCCCCGGTAGTGATCTGACCAAAGAACAGCTGCTCAGCCACCCTACCCCCCAGCATCATACACATTCGGTCGAAGAGCTGCTCCCGTGTGTAGAGGTACTGCTCACGGGGAAGGTACTGGGCATAGCCAAGCCCCTTGCCCCGAGGTATGATGGACACCTGAAAAATAAGAGCCTGGAGCTGTAGAAATAGGTCAGGGGTCAAGAGCACATGCTGCTCTTGCAGAAAACCCAAGTTCAGTTCTTCGCATTCCTATCAGGTGGCTTATAACCATCTTGTAACTCCAGCCCCAGATCAGATGCCCCCACTTCAGGATTCTATGAGGACTGCACTCATGTGTATCAACACACACACACACACACACACACACACACACACACACACACACACACACACACACACACACACACACACGTTCAGTTCCCAGCACCCACACAATGGCTCACAACCACCTGTAACTCCCGTAGGCTGAGTTCCAGGGCATCTGACATTCATCTGCTGAAGTCACCTGGTGCACATAAACATGCAGGTAAAACACTCATAGACATAAAATAAATCTTTAAAAAATTCAAATTACTCTTTAGTAGGAACTGAATGCCCAATTACTCTGACAGAGTCAGATCCAAAGCTTCAGACTTAAGGAAGGCCCCACCCAGAGCCAATACCTCCTGTTCTGCTTCCCCATCCCAAAAGGAACTGGACACCAACATACTTCTTGAAAAGTAAGATGGCTCATATGGTAAAAGAACTTATCACCAAGGTTTATCACTTGAGTTTAATCCCCAGAACCTATATAGTAGGAGAAAACTGGCTCCCACCTCTGACCACCATACGTGTAAACTCTCTCCTCCCTCCCTCCCTCCCTCCCTCCCTCCCTCCCTCCCTCCCTCCCTCCCTCCCTCCCTCCTAAACACAGAGAAAGGAAAGTAAAAGGGCCATGTCTATGAGTGCGCTGATAGCAGAGATGGCCCTTGGGCCTAGAGGCTGCCAATGTCATCAGCAGACTTAGTTTGAGTAACTGACCTTCAGCAGAGGGTCTGCATGTTCTAAGAACCAGCCCACCACTGCATGCCCAGCTTCATGGTAGGCTACAGTTGTCTTTTCGTTGGGTTGTAGGACCTGGGTCTTCTTTTCAAGGCCTACAAACCACATTCCAAGGAGTCAAAAAAGGGGAAGAATGTTCACCTATAAACCCCCAAGGGCACTGGACAGTCTGGATTGACTGCCATATCCCATTCCAAGGCCTTGTCAGGAACCTGACCCTCCCTCTATATCAGTCTTCCCCTGAGCACCAGCTCCATCCTACTCTCTACTCTGTAGTGAAACCCATCTCCCAGCACTGGAGGGACACCATTCATCCATTCTAACCAAACCTGACTTATCCTGCTTTAGAAAGCTGTTTTTAGAGCTGGAGAGATGGTTTAGCAAGTTAGGAGCACTAGATGCTCTTCTAGAAGACCAGGGTTTAATTCCCAGCATGGACATGGCAGCTAAAAACCATGTGTAACTCTAGTTCCAAGGGAGATAACATACCCCCACACACCCAAGATAAGGTTTCTCTGTGTAGCCCTGGCTGTCTTAGAACTCGCTCTCTAGACCTCACTGGCTTCAAATTCAGAGATTTGACTGCCTCTGCCATGCCTCCCAAGTAATGGGATTAAAGGTGTGCGTCACCATCACCCAGCATAAGAGTGGACTTTTGGACTCTGTGGGCACTGAACACATGTAGTACACAGACAAACATGTAAGCAAAATATCCATACACATAAAAATAAATTAAATCTAAAAATTTTTTTTAAAGTAAGCCACTGTCAGTCAATGAACTTAGCACAGGGTCACTTTCTGTCATGTGTCAAGAAGCAGCAGGAATGTTCTCAATGTCCAGTTAGCACACTTAGAACAAGTACAGGACCAAGAAAAGCGAATAACATCATGTGTTGAGCTTCTCAGACTGCAACTGCAAGGATTAATTAATTAGCTCACTAGAGCCACAGAGACAGCCCTCAAGTTTGCATGTACTCTATACACTTAAACTTTAAAAACAAAACCTCAATGATGAAACCTAAGGATGACCGCCAACCTGGCTAAACTTCAGTTTTTAGCACAGGGATGGATCTATACTATCATCCACCTGATCGCCCTTTCCAGTAACCACACCAGACCAGCCAACAGCAGCAATGTATTACTTCTCAGTCTCAGAGCCCTATGAGACCCTTAATTCACCAAACTCCAATTCCTGTCTGGCTAGCACAGCTAGCTGAATTGCTCCAGGCTACTATATGAACTACCCAGGTGACCTGTATGCTGGCTGGAGACAGATGACTGAGCTGAAGAAAACACGTAATATTCATTCCTTTAACAGAGCTGTCCCAAGAGAGTTCGGAACCAGTAGGCATCCTGGGATGGTCCCTACCTTACACAGATTTTCCTTAGAAATATCATTCATCCAAGCTCTGCTCTTCTTCTCTACAAGTACACTTTGCCTGTCTTCTACATCCAAGCCTAGCTCTGGTTTCCCAAGGCCTGCCAATGGCCTGCATACAATTCAGAAGGGAATGAAAGCTCCTAGGAGAGCCCTAGGTCTAAATTTTGGTTTTCTACATGCTGAAGTCATGCTAGGCTATCCAGAAAATGTCTGTCCCTTCTCAGGGGATGTGGGCTCACCTCCAATGACCCTCTCGATGGCTTTCTCAAAGTGCTGCTCCTGGACAGAAGGGCTAAGATGGCGGGCGGCAATCAGTGCTGCTTCATTGCACACATTGGAAATATCAGCACCTGAGTCGGGAAAAGAAGGTAAAGTCAATGATTCTGGCTGTTGAAGTTCTACCAAGATCAACTTCATTAAAGGAAAATCTAAAGGTTAAACTTCAGCAGAAAATGTAGGTAGAAATTACTTCACCAGTCACTATAACTTTTGCAAAAGTTTCTGGTTAGTTATGTAATTTTATTGAGAAATAACCCAATTATCATAAAGGCATATACAACATTAACTTATAGTAAACTTGGCAATGTGATGGATAGTATTGAAAGAATCTACAATCACCTGAGAGACAGGTCTCTGGACATGTGTGGTGGTTTGAATGGAAATGGCCCCACAGGCTTTCATGTTTGAATACTTGGTCCCCAGTTAGTAGAATTGTTTGGGAAAGACTAGGAGGTGTGGCTGTGTTGGAGGACCTGTGTCAATGGGAGTTGGAATTTGAAGTTTCAATAGAGCCCACACCATTCCCAGATAGGTGTCTCTGCTTCCAACATGTGGTTTAAAATGTAAGCTCTCAGCTCTGTCCTGATGCCTTGACCTCACAGAGATCCGCCTGCCTCTGCCTCCCGAGTGCTGGGATTAAAGGAGTGTGCCACCAACACCCACCAATACCACGGTTTTCAACTATAGCCTCAATCCTATTCTAAGACATCTTTCATCAGCTGAGAAACATTGTGCCTTTTATACTTAGTTCCTATTCCTACTCCAATCAATTACTAGTCTGTTTTCACCTCTGTGGATTTGGACTTTTTGGATCTCTACTGAAACCATAAACCATCATGGGGAAGGGATTCATATAAAGATGTGGCTTTTTATGTCTGGCTTCTTTCTTTGAGCATTATTTTTTAGACTATCTACATTATAGTATGTGTCAGTACTTCATCCCTTTTTGTCAAATCTTATTTATTTTAAACTCATGAGTATGCAATACTCATGCAGTATGCATCACATGTGTGCTTGGTGCTCAGGGAGACCATAACTGGAGTAGTGGTTGTAAGTGGCCATGTGGGTCTAGGAACAACCAACTCAGGTCTTCTGCAAGAGTAAATGCTCTATAATCTCTGAGCCATCTTTCTAGCCCCTAATATTTCATTCCTTTTTACAACTGAAAACTGTTATACATAGTATATACCATATATTGATTTACTCATCCATTGTTGGAAATGACTGAGTTCTACTTCGGGACTATTACAAATAATGAGGCCATAAACATGCATGTTCAAGTCTGAAATACATTTTCAATTCTCTTGAGGATACATGTAGGAGTAGAGTTGCTGGATCATATGGTAACTCTGTTTTGCTTTTGGATTATCAAACTGATTTCTATAGTGGCTATACCATTTCCATTTTACATCCCCACTAGCAACATGGGGGGGGGTTCCAACTCTTGTTTTCAGCTTTTTTTTCCCACTCTTTCAGGTATGAAGTTTTGTTTGTTTGTTTTAATTACTTATTAATTATATATACAACATTGTGCTTCCATGTATATCTGCACACCAGAAGAAGGTACCAGATCTCATTACAGATGGCTATGAGCCACAATGTGGTTGATGGGAATTGAACTTAGAACCTCTAGAACAGCTAGAGCTCTTAATCTCTGAGCCATCTCTCCAACCCCAGGTATGAAGTTTTAACACACTGTGGTCTTACTTTGTACTTTCCTAATAATCAAGGTTGAACATTTTTAATGTACTTAATAGCCATTATTTTGCAGAAATATATATTTAAGTCCATCTCAGGTTCTCAATATATAACCCAAGCAAGTCTCAACCTCCCTAATATGAGGACCATGGTATGTGCTACCATATCTTTTCTTTTTTTGGGGGGTGGGGGCTGTTATGAAAGCTTTCTAGATATTCTGCATACCATGCCTTTATCAGATACATGATTTTCATTCTGTGAGTTATCTTTTCATTCTCCTGAGTTTATCCTTTGAAACAAAGATTCAGTATCCAATATGTCTATTTTCTGTTTGTTTGTGCACTGGGTCATATATAAGCAAGCACTGACAATTTAATGTCATAAAGATTCACTTATTTTCTTCTAAGAATCTTATAGTCGAAGCTATTAAATTAAGACTTTTATCCATTTTGAATTGATGTTTGCAGCTGGTAAAGTTAAGGGTCTAACCTCATTCTTTTGCCTGTGAAGACCCAGCTGTCCCAGCACCATTTGTTGATGAGATGGCTCTTTCTGGTTCTTTCCCCAACTGTCAAAATCATCTGACTAGCGACGTAAAGGCTTCTATCTGGACTTTCGTCTCTTCCATTGGCCTCTGTCTCTCCTTTGCCAGGACCACACTGTTTGCTTACAGTGCCTCTGTGGGAAGTTTTGAAACAGCAAAGTGTGAGTCCTTCAACCTTTACTAGATTGCTTTGGTTATTGGGGCCCTCACAGCTAGTTCCATTTGAATTTTAGAAACCAGTATTTCCATTTCTGACTTTCATAAAAATACATTCTGCTCTTTTTACCTCCTTCCTCCTCCCTGTAGGAATCTATAAGCATGAAAACATTGTTGAATACTGTGGTCTTTAACACAGCTCTGTATTGGTTTTACATACTTGTTTTTTTAAAGTTATAACGCAAAACAAAACATTTACCTACATAGTCACCTTTGTAAATGTGTTTTTCTTTATGGCCTCAAGTTGACTATCACCCTCTTGCTTCAGCCTGAAGAGCTTCCTTTCATTTCTTTTTTTTTTTTTTTTTTTTTTTGGTTTTTCGAGACAGGGTTTCTCTGTATTGTTTTGGAGACTGTCCTGGAACTCGCTTTGTAGACCAGGCTGGCCTCGAACTCAGAGATCCGCCTGCCTCTGCCTCCCGAGTGCTGGGATTAAAGGCGTGCGCCACCAACGCCCGGCGCTTCCTTTCATTTCTTGCAGGGCAGAGTTACTATGAAAAGGTTGTTCTGCCTTTCATAATCTGCAATTCTTCCTTCACTCTTTTTTTTTTTTTTTTTTTTTTTTTTGGTCCTCCGAGACAGGGTTTCTCTGTGGCTTTGGAGGCTGTCCTGGAACTATCTTTTGTAGACCAAGCTGGTCTTGAACTCACAGAGATCCGCCTGCCTTTGCCTCCCGAGTGCTGGGATTAAAGGTGTGTGCCACCACCGCCCGGCTTTCCTTCGCTCTTAAACGACAGTGTTGGCAGTCACAAAATACTTAACTGATGGTTTTCTCAGCACCTCAACAGTGCCTTTTGAACTCCAGTTTTTAAACAGAAGCTAGGTGTTTATCACTGAGGTCCCCTGAACTGTCTGTTCCCGTTTTTTGATACTTTCAAGAGTCTCTTGTACCTTTGGGTTTTCATATTTGATTTATGAGAATACTGTGGGCCTGAGTTTTGAGTTCACTGAGTTTCTTGGATGTATGTATGCATTCACATCTTTTATCCAGTTTGGGAAGTTTTGTATCATCATATCTTCAAATATCCCTTCTGTATTTACTCTCTATCCTGTCCTTCTGCAGGTCCAACAGGTGGTTCTAGACTGCCACAGGCCCCTTAGGCTCTTCTTTTCTCCATTGTCTTCTCTTTCTGTCCCACAGACTTGAACATTTCATTTGATCTATCCCCACGTTTCCTGGTTCTCTTCTGTCTGTTCAAACCTATCATCTGTTCCTCTAGGAAATGCCACATTCTACGTAGCAGTACTTTTCAGCTCCAGATTTATACTTGGACCTTTCTCTACTTCCATCTCTTCACTCTGTTTCCTGGAACAGTTTTCCTGATTTCCTTTAGATCTTTGTCCATGTTTTCTTTTAGATTTTTGAAAATATTTAAGATATGTAATTTTAAGATTTTTTTTTTTGAGACAGGGTTTCTCTGTATTGTTTTGGAGGCTGTCCTGGCAGTCGCTCTGTAGATCAGGCTGGCCTCAAACTCACAGAGCTCCACCTGACTCTGCCTCCCAAGTCTCCCAAGTACTGGGGTTAAAGGCATTTGCCACTACACCCAGCTTCATTTGAAAAAAAAAAAATTTTTTTTTTTTTTTGGTTTTTCGAGACAAGGTTTCTCTGTATTGCTTTAGAGCCTGTCCTGGAACTCAGCTCTGTAGACCAGGCTTCAAACTCACAGAGATCCACCTGCCACTGCCTCCTGAGTGCTGGGATTAATGGCGTGTGCCACCAATGCCTGGCTTCATTTAAAGATTTTTTTTTTTTTTTTTTTTGGTTTTTCGAGACAGGGTTTCTCTGTATTGTTTTGGAGGCTGTCCTGGAACTAGCTTTGTAGACCAGGCTGGCCTCGAACTCACAGAGATCCGCCTGCCTCTGCCTCCCGAGTGCTGGGATTAAAGGCGTGCGCCACCAACGCCCGGCTTAAAGAATTTTTAAAAAGTATATTTATTCATGTATTGTGTATGGGCGGGAGTATGTCAAACTGTATGTATGGTGGTCAGAGAACAAACTGTGGAAGGTGGTTCTCTTTCCACTATATAGGTTACTGGGATCCGTTTGAGCCCTCTCATCCTCCCATTTTAAGAACTGCAGGTGGTTGATGGCGGATGGCTGGTAGATCTTTGAGTTTGAGGCACATGGCAAGCAGATATAAGAGTTTGAGGCCAGTCTGGTCTACAGAATGAGTTTCAGGATACCTACACAGAGAAACCCTGCTTCCAAAAATGAAACAAACAACCAAAAATTGCTTACTATGCTTAATATTGTATTTACTTGGGGCTTTAAGTTTTCCTTCCTCTATGAATATACAATACCTGCTTCTTTGCAGGTTTTGCCATTTTCTGCTAAATCATCAACCAAAATTTTTAGAACCTGGTTTTATTTTTTTTTGATTCATTGCAGTGAAAAATAAGTAGAGACTATGAGAAAAATTTAAGCTGCCTATTTTCTGGGGAAACCCTCAGTATTAAAATAGTTGCATCTCCTAGCCAAGAGTCAATCCAAAATTATACAGGGGGAGAAGCAGCCTTCAACAGTAAGAACCAATGGGTACCACAGTGCTGATCTCTGACTTTGGAAACACACCAGCAGTTCTTTTAATGTGGGACTTTACACGGCTCCTTTTGTCAGAAACAATGACACAGCCCTGTCCCCAGCATCTTGATATTCTCAGAGATTATGTGCTATGCCCTTTATGTACAATGAGTCTTGGGGAGAAAAAGTACTTTGTTTTTGAAAATTTATTTTATTACTTACTTATATGTTTGTGGAGTCCAGAAGAATGTATCAGATTTCCTGGAGCAAGAGTTACAGATTCACCCACTGTGGGAGCTACTAACTAAACTCTAGTCCTTTGGAAGAGTAGCAAACAATCTTAACCACTGAGCCATCTCTCCAGCCCTGGAAATGCACTTCAATGAAGCAGCACCCTCAAGTCCATGTGGAAGTGGGTCAGAGTGAGTTATTGAGGAGTTCTAAGTCTGCCCTATTGTGGAAGTGTGGAATTCTTTTGCTCAGTCCTCCAAACTGAAAATCCTCACAGGGAAATCTAAAGTCTGTGCAACATACTCTGGTTTCTTAGCTGGGCACATAAATGGACACCTGAATTCTGCAAAGGGTGAAAAAAATGAGACAGGAAGGACACTCTAGACAGAATACGAAGAAAGCCCTTCACTGTTAGTCTGACAAGAACTTCTCACCACTACACCACAGACGAATGAACATGCCTGACCCAGGGCTGAGCAGGATGCTATAGGTACCCAGAGTGAAGCACTCCACTGCCAAATGACCATATGGCAGAAGTAGAGGAACTGCAAACAACTTGCTACAGTAGCTACGTGGTTTTCAAAGGGCTGCTATGGAGAGGCAAATAGGTCAGAAAACCCTTTACATAGGTTCCCGCCCATTTCTGGGGTTCAGACCACTCTAGTACAGAAACAATTATCCTGGCTCTGGAGATGAGGTTTGGAAAAAGGAAAAACCAAACAATCACGCCAGATGGGAGTTCAAGCCAAGATCAATGTGTGATATGATCCATCTCTTCAGGGGATCACCCTCAGACATTATTTCCACCTCTGTAGTAAAGACTTAAGTCTAAATAGAAACCAATAAACTCAAACGGGCACCAACAGGTTTTAGATAAAGAAGATCTGAAGCCAGCCGGGTGTTGGTGGCGCACGCCTTTAATCCCAGCACTCGGGAGGCAGAGGCAGGCGGATCTCTGTGAGTTCGAGGCCAGCCTGGTCTACAAGAGCTAGTTCCAGGACAGCCTCCAAAAGCCTCGAAGAAACCCTGCCTCGAAAATCAAATAAAAAAAAAAAGAAGATCTGAAGCCTTTGAAATGTTTCAAGTTCAAAGTTCTACAGACCAGGTGACCATTTGCCAGTACCAAAATAGGCAGGTTTAACAACCACCAGTCACTATAGATTAATGAATGCACTTGACATCTGCTAAGATGAGTGGCTCAGCAATAAAACACTTACCAGTAAAGCCTGGAGTAAGAGCTGCTAGCTTTCTCGAAAGAGCATCTTTGGTGAGGCGTTCATCTAGCTTGAGTGGACGCAAGTGGACCTTGAAAATAGAGGACCTGCCTTTGATATCAGGGGGACCTAATAAAATGAGACATATAAAATTATGTTCTCAGAGCTTTTGGAAGGGGTTTCTGCAAAATTACTTCACAAAACTTCAAGAACAGTCAGCAGAGCTCCCTGCCTGCAACAAAGTTGAAATGATTAAAAAAAAGCCCAAAGTGTATATATCAAAACACCAAACACCTTCTTGGGAATAGGTATGTAGCTCACTGGTAGAGTTGGCATGAACAAGGCCTTGGGTTCAATCACCACTAACACACACACACACACACACACACACACACACACACACGTACACACCTACTTCTTAATCAATATTAAATCTATTCCCCCAAGGCCATGTGATCAGAAACTGTCCTGGACACAAGTACTATCTACCCAAGATCAATGTGCTCCACTTGGGAAACGTCAAGGGAAGGTGAATATCCTTGACCATTAGGGAGAAGAACAAGGGATAAATCCTTTTTTTCCTAAAGTATCAAGGTTTTATAAGGCTGTATGAGAGTAAAATCTGGAGAACAGAAATAGACTATGCCACTCTTACCTGTATTCACTACAAGGATGTATGGACAGCCAAATCACACCTACTATTCCCAAAATGTGGACTGTCAGATGGGACCCAGAATCAGCAACTCCAAAAGCACAGCAAGTGAGTTATCCAAACCTTTAACCTCAGAGGGCTGAGATCCAAACCCAAGTATCTACATGATAAGCACTCACCAATGTAGATCTGGCGGTCAAACCGGCCAGGTCGTGTCAGGGCTGGGTCAAGGATATCAGGGCGATTGGTGCCAGCTAGCACTACCACATTAGTGGTAGAGTTGAACCCTAAACACAAGAAATGCTGGTTAATCTGAGGAAAGCCCAGGCAACACCAGATTCCGCATGACCATTCCAAGTCAGGTCTCATGCTGGTTCTATTTCCCTTCTGCTTGCCACACATCCTTCTGTAAGTACCAAGAAACAGGTATGAGGCCCTGCCCTGCTGCCCCAGAGGCCCATTCTAGGGAAGACAATACACAAAGACTTGACCTCTGGCTCTAAGCTCTATTACCTTCTACTATGAGTAAGGTACGTTTCTACTGGTGGGAAAGCAGATCTTTTCTCAACAAACAGGGAACCCTGTAATCTGAGTCAAGGATATGAGATTAAAGCCTGGAACATGGGGAGTCTCTTTGTATTTCTGACTCCTGCTACCGTGATACCATCTTGTCAGACTCACTGCCTCCGTCCACCCAAGTCCTTGTGGGCTTGAAGGATTCATCAAGCACAACCAGGTGATGGCAGGCAAGGAACACTCATCCAAGGCGAGTCCATGAAGATGATGGTTAGGGGTGCATATGTGTTCTCTCCTTTATTGTCTCCACTCAGTCCCCGACAGAGGAAAACATAACAAGAACCTATTCCACTTACCTTTAGGTACTAAAATTTCTTTTCTTTTCTTTTCTTTTTTTTTTGGTTTTTCGAGACAGGGTTTCTCTGTATTGTTTTGGAGGCTGTCGGTCCAGCTTGGCCTCGAACTCACAGAGATCCGCCTGCCTCTGCCTCCCCAGTGCTGGGATTAAAGGCATGCGCCACCACCGCCTGGCCTGGCTTGACTGTCTTAAGGACCACATGAGTGTTGCCCTCAGCCACCTTTCTCTGACAATGGCTCCTGGTGCCCAAACTACTAGTGCAAACTACATTATTTATGCACAATACCTGCCTTCCTCCCACAAGTTTAAAATCTTGGCACAAGCCAAGCAGAGGGTACCTGACCCAATGAAAGCAGCAGGATTAAGGCAATTCCTACATGCCATCACAACTTGTTCCTGGAGAAGACTCTAGATTCAGCATCTGGTCTTGATGGAGCATTCCTTGTGCCTTCCCTTTTGGCTAATTTTGCTGTGTGTCCTTTCTCTGAGTTGGACCACACCTAAATATACCTGATTTTGTGACTCCCTGGCAAAAACCAAACCCAGAGAGGGCTTAGGAACCCTAAAGATAAAATGAAGACAAAATCTGCCAAAGATCCATTGGAAGCTTTACTTAACTCAAAACACCCTGGCTAGAATCACTCTGAGATCAGCAGAACAAGGCCCAGAGCAAGAGGAGTACATCTGACTCCACTATATCATATGTGCACCAACAGGGACACTTAAACTCATATACACATCTACCTCCCAAGAAAAGTGGGTGCCCTCACCCCAGCTAATTTCCCACCCTCGTGGAAGGTAGGAAACAAATTTCCCACTGTGCAATGAGCAGCTCTATGTGAATCAAACACTCCTTTCTTACTTATGTTTTCTTGAGAGCGTTCTTTTTTAAAATCAGAATGCATCAGCCAGGCATGATGGCACATGCCTGTAATCCCGTCACTCCAGAGATGAAGGCAGGAAGAATAAGAGCTCCAAGTCAAGCTAAATAGTGAGAGAGAAGAACGAATATAAATTCCTATGGAAACCGAGTCCTTGCAGACCTGCTACAGTGCCCACTCACCGTCCATCTCCACAAGCATCTGGTTTAAAGTGTTCTCCTGCTCACTCTGGCCTCCCAGGTGACCACGGCCTCGCTTCCTGCCAATTGCATCAATCTCATCAATGAATAAAATACAAGGAGCATTTTTTCGGGCCATTGCAAACATGTCACGAACCTGGAAAAGGAATCCAGACCCTATTTTGTTATTTACATCCTATCATACAGAAGAACTGTTCACCCTGAGCCCTCCCTTTGATACATCAGTACTTCCCTGATAGGGCACACTCAGCGCTCATCCCACACAAAGCCTATAACTACACAAAATGACCAATCCTGGACAAGAAGTGTATTGGCACCTTCATAACTAGTTACCCATCCACCTACCCGTGCTGGCCCAACACCAACAAACATTTCCAGGAACTCTGACCCATTCACAGTGATGAAGGGCACATTGGCCTCCCCAGCAGTTGCTTTTGCAAGAAGCGTTTTGCCAGTACCAGGTGGGCCAGTGAGCATTGCTCCCTGCAAGAGAAAAGAGACACCTAGTTCTCCAGAAGGACAGATGGCACACTGGGAACAAGCCCAGCTTCTACTTAGATCTAAAAAGGAATTTGTTTCTTAACACATATAGGAAACTTCTAGGACTAACAAGAATCTCATCAAATCCACCACTTTTAGAGCCTAAGATTTATTTTTAAAGATTTATTTATTTATTATGTATGCAGTATTCTGCCTGCATGCATGCCTGCAGACCAGTTGCCAGATCTCATTACAGACAGTTGTGAGCCATCATGTATGTGGTTGCTGGGAATTGAACTCAGATCTTCTGGAAGAGTAGTCAGTGCTCTTAACCTCTGAGCCATTTCTCCAGCCCCTAGAGCCTAAGATTTTTTAAAAAATCTTCTCTCTTAAAAAAAAATTAATGCGGGCTGGAGAGACGGCAAAGCAGTTAAAACATTGGCTGCTCTTCCAGAGGCCCTGAGTTCAATTCCCAGTAACCACATAGTGGCTCACAATCATCTATAATGAGATCTGGCACCCTCTTCTGGCCTGCAGGCATACATACACACAGAATGCTGTATACAAAATACATAAAAATCTTTAAAAAAATTAATGCGCATGATTGGAGAAACGGCTTAGTAGAGGTAAGGTGTCATGAAAGCATAAAGATCTGAGTTCAATTTCTATAGCTGATGTAAAAAAGCCAGGAACAAAGATAATCACACTTGTAATCACATTATTAGGAAGGCAGAAACAGGTTGATTTCCAGTGGCTCAATGGCCAATAAGCCAGCCTTGCCTACTGAAAAGCTACAGGCCAATGGAGACCTAGTCTCAAAACAGAAGGCAGAGGGCTCCTGAGAAATGACACCTAAGGTGGTTCTCTGGCCTACCACCTCCCTACAAGTGCACACAGAGATATATACACAAATACACACCATAGTTTACACACAGATACAGCATCTAAAAAGATAACTCCCATAACCAGATCCCAACTTGGAGGAGTTATCTTCTGCAGGAATAGGTCTAGGAGGAGTCCACTAGCTCAAAAAACCAGAATGCTTTTCTTTTTTCTTTTCTTCTTTGAGTTTTTTTGTTTTGTTTGTTTGTTTTTTTTGAGACAGAGTTTCTCTGTGTAGCCCAGGCTGTCCTGGAACTCACTCTGTAGACCAAGCTGGTCTCAGACTCACAGAGTTCCACCTGCCTCTGCCTCTCGAGTTCTGAGATTAAAGGCATGTGTCACTGCCGCCCAGCCCACAGTGCTTTCCTTAATGATTATTGTCAAAATGCTCTCTAAGACAGCAGTTATCAGTTGACACAGCCACCTGGGAATGAAACACAATTGTCTGTTGAAAGCCAGTGAGCTTGTCCAGCTTCATAGCCTTTGGTTTAAGGGTGGACACAACTCATTTTGGGGGGCTCATCAGTTGTTGAGGCCAGGCAGCCAAGGACCCGAGTGGGAATCCCCAGAATCCATGTAAAGCCAGGCACAATAGCAGTGCTCTTACAGAGACAGGAGAATCCCCAGAAACTGTAGCCTGGCATACACAGCAGCAAATAGCAAGGCATCCTGTATCAAACAAGGTTAAAAGTGAGATTGTCCTAGGACCTTCACACATGTGCTGTGGCAGGTTATGCTGCTTAGTGCTCTGTCACCTTGACCCAAAAGAGCCTTCAGGAAAGAGTGAACCTCAACAGAGAAAATGCTTCCATTAGATTGGCCTATAGACAAGTTTGTGGGGTATTTCCCTGACTGATGATTAGTGTGGGAGGATGTTGGGGAAGTCCTGTGCATTTGTCAATAAAGCACTGTCTGGCCAATAGGGAATCTAGATAGGAGGGACTAGGAGTCCAGAAGGACTCTGGGTAAGAGAAACACAAGGAGATTCGAGATGTAACCGCCATGGGGTAGGAAGTCCGGAACTATTCTCTGGTAAGAGAAATACTTAGATTAACAATTATGGGGTAATTACTTAAGTCAGAGCTAGCCAGTAAGAAACAAGCAAAGGCCAACAGCTTCATAATTAATATAGCCTCCTGTGTGTTTATTTGGGACTGATGCGGCTCTGGAACCCGGCTGGCAGGAAGGCTCCTCTCAAGGAAAAAGCTTCTCTTTACAGGAGGGCCTAGCCCATTGTGGGTGGCGCTACCTCTGGGCAAACAGTCCTGGGTTATATAAGGAAGCAAGCTGAGTAAGCCATGGGGAACAAGCCAGTAAGCAGCGTCCCTCCATGGCTTTTGCCTCCAGGTACCTGCCTTGCTTGAGCTCTGCCCCAACATCCTTCATTAACTGTTACTTGGAGTCCAAGATGAAATAAACTCTTTCCTCCCCCAGGCAGCTTTAGGTCATGATATTCACCATAGCAAAAGAAACTAAGCTAAGACACATACATGCCTACACTCACTCATATAAGCAGACATTTGAAGAAAAAAAGATTGCAAATTCACATCTTTATAACACACCTTCATTTTAATTTTAAGTTGAATTTATGCCTGAAACTTAAATGCCTGAAACTATTATGCCTGAAACTTAAAAATATTTTTTAAAAGTTATTACATTTATTTAGTTATATTTGGGGGGTGAGGTTGGCAAGCCATGGCATATATGAGGAAGTCGGAGTACAACTTGCTAGACTCAGTTCTCTCCTTCCACCATGTAAAAATGGCATGTGGGTACAGAGATTAGAACCTGGGCTGTTTCCAGGTAGTGTTGGGCCACACTTTCAATCCCAGACACTAGGGAGAGCAGAGGTAGGCAGATCTCTGAAAGACTGAGGCCAATTTGGAAAACAAAGGTAGTTCTAGGATAGCCAAGGCTACACAGAGAACCAGGGACACACACACACACACACACACACACACACACACACACACACACACAGACAGGACGGTATGTAGATGGACATTGGACATTCAGGCAGTCAGGTTTGGTGGCAAAGTTCCTTCACCACAAAGCCACCACACTCAGTTTAATGTATTTGCTTTCTAATGGGCACATGTGGACATGTGGAGGTCACAGAACAAGTCACAGAAGGAGGTTCTCTCTTCTATCTATTATGTGGATTCCAGGGATCGAACCTGGCATAACAGGCTTGGTGGTACATGCCTTTACCAGCAGAGCCATCTCACTGGCCCCCTGAAAAAGATCTAAGACCCTGTTTCTGTTGGGCATGGCAGTACATGCCTTTAATGCCAACACTTGGGTGGCAGACACAGGCAGATCTCTGTGAGGTAAGCAGCCTGGTCTACACATGAGTCACAGGCCAACCAGGGCTACACAGTTAGACCCTGTCCCAACAACAACAAACCTTGTATCTGGAGTTGAATGCTGGATTACTATTAGGTCACTGTAGATGAGATCACAACTTTAAAAGACAAGCAAACAAACAAATGTGGGACTTTTGAGCTGTGTCTTTTAGACTATAGCACAGGCTAGCCATGAACTCACTATGTGGCCTAGACTATCTTTGAACCCTCACTAGTCCTACCTTGACCAAACAAGTGCTAGAACTATAGGCATAAGTCATCTCACCAATCAAACATGAGGACTTTTAATGTTCTACACTGCAGGCACTATTTCCATCCTCTATTGTGGTTAACAGAAATACAAACTAAAGGAAGAAAACAATAAACTTTGTTAAGTATTTGTCTCTTCTAAATAGCAGCAATCTGTACTTCAACTTGGAGCCGAGATTTTATCACTGTTTCCCGAAATCAATACCTTTGGAATTTTGGCTCCTAAGTCCTGATATTGCTTTGGGTTCTTCAGGAAATTCACAAACTCCATAATTTCCAATTTGGCTTCTTCACAGCCAGCCACATCTGCGAATCGCACATCAATGTTGTTTTTTAAGATCTTGGCAGTTGTCTCCCCAACACTGAAGAGGCCTCCTCCTCGCCCACCACGGCCAGTCCCCATCGGACCCCTCTTCATAGCATACAGGAGGATGCTAACCAGGACCAGGGTGGGCACTAGGCTTCGGAGAAGAGAACTGCAAAAATCAAAGAAAACAATGTTATATTCACTTAAGAGAAAGGTCAGGGGGGCTGGAGAGATGGCTCAGCGCTTAAGAGCAATGGCTACTCTTCCAGAAGTCCTGAGTTCAATTCCTATCTATAGTGAGATCTGGTGCCCTCTTCTGTCCTGTAGTCACACCTGCAAACAGAACACTGTATATATAATAAATACATCTTTAAAAAAAAAGATATATAGAGAAAGGTCAGCAGTTCCACTGTTACCCAGAAAAAGAGCAAACCACTCTAAAACTTTCTCTATACAAAAGGGATAGTTTTTAAAATAGCATTACATCTGCCCTGACCCACCCAACAACAGAACAAATAAGTCTGACAGAGTCTGAGCCATATGCTTTCCTCAGAAGACTCTGGTTCAGCAAAGATATCAATACCTAATATGATTACTTTTCCTACAACTTTTTAAAGGCTGCCTGGCATTTTCTTAACAATAAAGAGACATAAGTCAGTGCAATGATGTACACTTGGGAGGCTGGGACAAGAGACTCATTTAAATTCAAGAGTTGAGACTTGGATGGCTAAGAGTGAGGCCATCTCAAAACAAACAAAAAAAAATTTAAAAATAAAAACAGACCAAAATATTCTTTAAGTATTGATAGTGTAAATATTAGCAGATGCCTAGAATATGTTTTTTAAAAATTAGCATACCCCCAAGTAGGTTAAACACCAAATTTTTGTGTTTTTTTTGTTAAGAATCAAATGTCCTACACTAGAGCCTCCCAAGGACTTCCGCATCCCTAGAACTCACCCATCACTCTCAGTAGTATAGACCACCGCAGCCTGGTTGGTGGGCTCAATCCCCAGCTCCCACTGAGCAGACTCAAGGTTCCGCTCAAAGGTGTCAACACTACCAATGTTAAACCACACGAACTTCTGCAGAGACCAAGAGAAAGTTTAGGCTTACCACTGTGTCCCAGAGAGAAATGCTGACACACTCATCCACATCTGTGTTCTCCAAGACAAGCCTCTCTCCCTAGCTCTGACAGATATGGACAAATCCAATCCCTTCCTGAAGCTAGCTCCAAGAGTAACTAGGCAAACAGCAGCTCATTCATTTCTGGCACACAAAACTTCAAGGTTTTAAGTTCTGGACAAAATATAAAATGCTGCAACAATAGTCAAATTCTCCCATTGTCTTTTTATTCTTTCCTTACAAATTTTGGCAAGTAGGATATGCACTGCTCTTGCAGAAGACCAAAGTTGGTTCCCAGCAACCAAGTCAGTAGGTTCATAACTCCAACTCCAAGGGGATCTAATACCTCTGGCCTCAGCAGGCATCTGTGCATATACTCACACAGACATCCATACACATAATTAAAAATAATAAAAATCAAATCTTTAAAAAAAAAAAGTGGCCAGGTAGTGGTGGCATACACCTGTAATCCCAGAACTCAGGAGACAGAAACAGGAGAATATCTATGAGTTCAAGGCCAGCCTAGTCTACTGAGTGAGTTCCAGGACAGCCTCCAAAGCTACAGGGAAACCTGTCTCGAAAAACAAACAAGCAAACAAAAACAACAACAACAAAAAGTGATCTGGTGTGGTGGCACATGCCTTTAATCCCAGAACCTGGGAGACAGGCATGTGAATCTCTGTCAGTTTAAGGCCAGCCTGGTCTACATACAGTTCAAGGATATCCAGAGCTAAAATGAGACTGTCTCAAAAACAAACAACAAAAGGTATCTGAACACTTGGCTTTAAATCGACCCCTCACCTCGGATGTTGTCCCAGGAACAGGAATAACACGCACAAATTGCTTGTTCACAACTTCCAGCCGATCCACCTTGGAAAAAAATAAAACAGTAGTAACAGTCAACGCAGTAAGGATATTCAAGTCAACCATAAGCAGTGTAGTCATGAGCACACCTACATCCTAAAGACAACATACCATCCACAGCCCACTCTAAGTTTTAGTTTCTTGTTCTCTTGGATCGGTAAGCTTGGGATATCAATCTATTTTATTTTAATAAAGAGCTCAAGAAGTCTCTTAAATTTGGAACATCTGAGCCCCATACTAGACTACTTTAAAACCCTAAATAGAATACAAGTCAGTTTTATACTGACAAATGAATAAAATCTGTTAGTATTCAATGTGTATGAATTCGGATGCACGTGCAACCATATGTGGACATGAGAAGACAACTTCTATTTCAGGGGCCAGTCCTCACCTCTAGACTAGTTCCAGACAGTGTCTCTTCATTGCATATTCCAGTCTACCTGGCACACAAGCTTCCAGGGACTCTCCTCTCTCCGTTTCCCATTTCCCCATAGTTGCACAAAGATCACAGATATGCTTGCTATGCATCCAACTTTTATGCGGGTTCTGGGGATTTGAACTAAAATCCTCATGCATGCTTGTGTAGCAAGTGTCTGCACCCACCAACCCGTCTCTCATACACAATACAGTAAAATCTTGAGTTCAGACACGATTCATCCACAGTTCTGTTCTGCACTCAGCCCACCTGTCTCACTCTCCTCAGCACCCATATATGGCAGAGTCATATGCAGGGAAGGGCTGCAGCAGCTCTGTTCCCCACTATTCTTAGGGGAGCTACCAAGAACCTCTTACAAGACAATGTCTCACAAGTCCAGGGCTGGCCAGCAAGGTCCAGGGGTACAGTAAAGGGAAAAAAGTTTTCAATCAGACATGAGACTGAAATTCAAAGATGAATGGATAGAGCCAAATTTTAAAAGACAAGCTAATTTTTTATCTTTTGATAATGCCAGGACATGGTATTAAGGCAGCTTCCACCCAACCAGAGAGCAAGCCTGACACTGTTCTGCTTGAACTGTTCCTGTCCCCACATAGACTGCTCAGCACTCAATCACACAGTAGCCTGTCTCTCAGCCCATCCCAGAGCTCACAGATCCTTCAGTATATTGTAAACCTCCTGCATAGCATTTTCGTTCCCAAGAAGACAATCTATAAATCTCCTCACCAGACCTCTGGCTAGGTAATACTGTACAAAGTGCTTCCAGGTGATCTCTTTTCCAGGATCTCGAAAATAGAAATATAAAAATCCCATAGCCACTCCTGCCCCCAAAACAGCCAGACTCCGGAAATCCTTGTCATCCCAGGGAAACTCCCCCTATGGAAGAAAAGACATGTTTTCTAGTTAAATGACAAATAAAGTTGTTTCACTTTTTGCTTAAAATGTTTTCATATTTTTATTTACATGGATGTGTCCAGGAAAGGTGGTGCCTGTGGCCAGGAGTTTGACTCCATGGAACTAGAGCTACAGGCAGTTTGTAAGTCAAACTCAGATCCTCTGGACAGCATGAAAATGACAATTTCTTTATCAAAATGAAACTCACTATATAGACTAGCTTAGTCTCAATGTAACAGAGCTTCGCCTATCTCTGCCCCTGGAGTATTAGGATTAAAGGCGTATTCCACCATGCCCTGCAGAAGGTTCTCTCTTATCTTGGACTCTAAGTCTTGACACATTTTAAAAAATTTCTTAGACTCTTTGAACTGTCTAGGTCCCTCAGAAATCCACCCTGAAAATCAACACCAACAGTGAAAGCATTAAAGAGGTGGGACCTTTGGGAATGATTAAGTCATATGGGGCCATCTTCATATATGGAATATGTGTGCTAACATTAAAGGTCTTAAGGATGGATTTTGTTCCTTCTTGTCATATAAGGATACAGTATTATTCCTCTATGGAAAAGCAGTATAGATGACACTATGAATGAAGTCTTGAAAACAGAGACCAAAGCCTCTACAAATACTAGACACAACAGCACTCTGACCATATATTTTCTAGCCTTCTCAATTGTGAATAAATATATGCTATTTACAAATTACACAGTCTAAGCTGGGCATGGTGGTGCACATTTGAAATTCCTACACTCAGAGGCAGAGACAGGAGGTTCACCATAAGCCTAGGCTACACAGTGAATTCTAAGCCAGCCAAGGTTACTTAGGAGACCATGTCTCAATAAACCCAAAACAAACAAGAAATAAATCAAACTACCCAGTAATTTTGTCCAAGAGCAGGAACAAAGTAAGAGAAAGACCACTCAAAGACTTAGCTCTGTAGTAACCACACCCTCGAGAGAAGTGACAGCATGTCTGGCTCTGATCTTTAGATACAAACAAACCTTCTGCATCCGTTTCCACCAGGCAAAGTCATCTCGCTTCCCTCCTCTCTTGCCTCCATCTCCTCCAGGCCCAGCGTTCTTTGGTTCTACAGATTCTGAGATTAAAAAAAAAAAATGAAAAGTCTTATATTACAACAAAAAAAGAAAAGAAGTATATATAATTTTCCAGAGAAAGAGAATTCAAATAACAGAAAAAGAGCTAGAGAAGTAGTTCAGTCAGTTATGTGCTTGCTGTGAAACATGAGGATCTGAGTTCAGATCTCCAGCACCCATGTTAAATGCCAGATACAGCTGCCTGCATTCCTGCAGATTCAGAGCTATGGCAGCAGAGACGAGAGGATCCCAGCAAGTTCCAGGTTCAGAAAGAGAACCTGCTTCAAAAAATAAGGTGGAGGGCTGGTGAGATGGTTCATCGGGTAAAGGTATTTGCCAATGCCAAGCATGAGAACCCGAGTTTCATCCCTGAAACACAAGTGATGGAAAGAAAGAACCATGTTGTCCTCTGACCTCCACATGTGCTCAGAGATACATGCACTCACTCGCATGCACACACACATACACAAACACACTCAAATAAATGTAGTTTAAAAAATTAAAAATAAAGTGGCAAGATTGAAGAAGATACTCATTATCAACCTCTAGCCTACAAACACATACACATATATGCACATTGTACATACAAATAGGCATACCAAATAAATAAATAGGAAAAAGAAGAAGCTGGGAGATATTGCTGAAAAGTAGCTTCAGATACATATAAAATCACTTAAATTTTACTTTGTGAGTTTCAAACATAAGCTGTTTGCTTTTATTTTTTTGAGACAGGGCTCTATTATGTAGCCCAGGCTAACTTGGAACTTGCAATCCTCCTGCCTCAGCCTCCTGTGATTACAGATATGTACCACCATACCAGGCAGTCCTAATTTTTAATAGCAATTTGGGGGGGGGGATGCTAAAAATAGCGTGGCTGAAAAAATGAGGGAAGCTGACACAGGCAAATCCCTTCTCAAGAGAATCAAGATGCACATTACCTGCTCTCAAGAACAGCATACCAATATGCAGAAAAACCTGCCATGGGTATATTTTTTCTTCTTGTTTAGTCAGGGTCTTACTATGTAACTCTGGTTGTCTTGAACTCCTTATATAGACTAGGCTGGCCTCAAAACTCACAGAGATCTATCTGCCTCTACCTCCCAAGTGCTGGGATTAAAGGCATGTGCCACTATGCCTGGCCCACGTGTACATTTTTGACCTATGGACTATAACAGGAAGCAGAGTCTCCTGAGACTCCTTTTGCAATATTCATACAAGTTCTAGGTCAGAACAAGTCCTTCTCTACATATTGCCACTCCAACAATATCATACAAGTCCAGAAAAGGCACAGTGACACCAGAAATGGCAACATGAATCAATGAGATAAATATTTATGCAAGTTTTACAGACAAAACATGAGTCTTGAAAAATGGTAGCAAGATATACCACCATACCTCTTGATTAGCTTATATGTGTTTCTTATTATTTAATGTTCATAGGTACCTAAGCCAGTGAAACACAACTGTTAAACCCATCCAAATCACCAAACTGAGATACAACTTAAAAATGACTCATAAGAGGCTAGAGAGATGACTCTGTGGTTAAGAGCACTGGATACACTTACACAGGACCCAGGCTTGATTCCCAGCTCCTCCATGGTGGCTCACAACTATCTGTAACTCCATTACCAGAGTATCTGACACCCTCTTCTGGCCCCTCCAGCATAGGCACACAGTTGTGCACAGGCATACAAGCACAAAAACCACCCAAACACATGAAATAAAATTAAAAACCTAGCTATTTAAAATTAAAATAAAAAAATTAAAAAAAATTAAAAACCTAACTTAAAAAATGTTAAAGCCAGGCAGTAGTGGTGCACACCTTTGATCCCATCACTTGGGAGACAGAGGCAGGGAGATCTCTGACTTGGAGGCCAGTCTGGTCTACAAAGTGAGTTCCAGAACATCCAGGACTACACAGGGAAAAGCTGTCTGGAAAAAAACAAAACAAAATTTAAACAAACAAAAAAAAAAGATCCATCAAGGCTTAGGTCCAATCCAAAGAAGCTAAAAAATTAGTAAGAGATGAAGGCCAAAACAAGAAACAGTGACTTAGGAACAAGGAGGCAGCACTCACAAGCAAAAAAAGAAAAAAAAAAGGGTAAGATCCACTTCAGACAATCATGTTTTCTTCCTGGTTTATCCTTCTCAAGGAGATAAACTCCAACATCAGTCAATACTTTAAAAACACTCAAACATGCCAGTCATGATAACACATAACTTTGACCCCAGCACTTAGGAGGCAGAAGCAGGCAAATCACTATGAGCTTGAGAAGAGCCTGGTCTATATATTAAGCTATAAACCAGCCACATCTATATAGTAAAACCCTGTCTCGAAAAACAAAAAGCAAGCAAACAAACAAAAAAACCTCAAACAAGGGGCTGGAAAAGCCGGGCGTTGGTGGCGCATGCCTTTAATCCCAGCATTCGGGAGGCAGAGGCAGGCGGATCTCTGTGAGTTCGAGGCCAGCCTGGTCTACAGAGTGAGTTCCAGGACAGCCTCCAAAACAATACAGAGAAACCCTGCCTCGAAAAACCAAAAAAAAAAAAAAAAGAGGGGGGGGGCTGGAGAGATGACCCAGCAGTTAAGAAAACTCGCTGCTCTTCCAAAGACAAAGGTTCAATTCCCAACACCCATGTGGCAGCTTGTAACTGTAGTTCCAGTTCCAGGTGATCTGGTGCCCTTTTCCGGCCTCTCTGGGCATCAGGCATGCCCATAGTACACAAATACACATGCAGGTAAAACACTCAAGCATATAAAATAAAATTTTTTTAAAAATCAACTAAAATAATCAAATGTAAAACTTGACAGTCTGACTTATCAAATTGGCCTTTTTACCTTTTTTGGGAGCTACTGAGTTTCCTGGGTCTGTACTTCTTCCATTCTTCTTATTCTTAAAAAATTTCTCAAACCCTTAGGGACAAAATGGAGAGGTTGTAGTATTTTTAAAAAGAAAATACAGAGTTCCAGGACAGTCTCCAAAGCCACAGAGAAACCCTGTCTCAAAAAAACAAACAAACAAACAAAAAAAACATACACATTCAGAAAAGCAGCAATACAGCAAATCTGGCTAAGAAAGTAAGCTAGCTCTCCTTTCTGACTTTCTTCTTACCTGATGATCAAAGCAACATGTAGCCCCAGGTGCAAACACAGACATGAGAGCTAAGGAATATTTCTTCTACTCTCTGGATACAGAAGTCTCCAAATGCTTGTATAAGTATGATCCCTTTCCTTAGAAAAATAAGCACCGGTCCTTGGCTTGCTCTGAAGGGCTCCAAATAGACCACTGTGTTCCAGGTAGCGACTTTACTTGATTTACTTTCCAAACCTGAGGCTGGATCCTCATAATCAACTATGCAGACACAAAAATGAATTCCCACACCTCCCAAAAGATTCATCTAGTAATATCCTCTGAGACAGTTTCACTTTCACCAGTGTCAATGATATACCAAAGTGATAAAGGGAGCATTCCAGCTGTCATGTCCCCTTGTCACCTGCCTAGTCATTGTGGGAGACACCCTGAGCAAGTTACACTAGTCCTATAAACTTTATGCTGCTAACAAAGGTAAGAGAAGTACAGTACCTTTGGGAGGTTTTGAACACAGCCTTGGGGAAAACGAAGTCAGTCTTCCCTGCAGAGCCTGCTGCTGCAAGCACATCCCCTGATGACACTGAAAGGAGAGATGATTAGGCCATTTCTGAAATGCAACACAGCATCTTCTCACAGTGGCCAGGACAGGATGCAAGGGACAGAATTCGGACGGAGACATGGGCTTGTTACTTTATTTACCTACTTAGATATTCAAATAGAATAAATATTAATTAAATTAACTGTAAAAACTCACAAAGAACTTTTTATAGCTGTAACATTCACCGAGGCAGTGGTGGAACGTGTCTTTTATCCCAGCACTCAGGAGGCAGATCCAGGTTATCTATGAGTTTGAGGCCATCCTGGCCTACAAAGTTGAGTTCCAGGACAGTCAGGACTATACAGAGAAACCCTGTCTCGAAAATAACAAAAAAGGAGGTGTGGCTTTGTTGGAAGAGGTGTATCACTGGGGGCAGGGTTTGAGGTTGAAAAAGACTTGTGCTATTCCCAGTGTCTTCTCTGCCTACTGCTTTCAGCTCTAAGAGGTGAACTCTCAGTCGTTCCTACCATCACGCATTTGCTCTGTCATCATGGACTCTAACCCTCTGAAAATACACTTTTCTTTTGTTTAGTTGCCTTGGCCATGTTTTATCACAGCATAGAAACCTAATTAAGACCACAGTTGGTACCAGGAAGTGGGCTACTGCTGTGGCAGAGCTGACTGTGTCGTTGTTTTGTTTGTTTTGTTGTTTTTGAGGAACTTGGAAGACTTTGAACTAGAAAACTGATTGAATGTTTTAAGCAGAGCTTAATGGGCCATCCTAGTAGGAGTCTAAAGACAGAAGCACTGAAAGCCATATGGAGGCCTAGCTCAAGAGGCTTCAGAGGGAAGGAAGGACTTTAACAGCACCTAGGCTAGAGGCAGTCATTTCTGTGATACTTTGGCCAAGAATGTGGCCACCTTCTGCCTTCATCCTAAGAATCTGTCTGAGGCTAAATTAGAAAGTAATGAGAATTTCTTTGGTGCAGGAATTTTCAAGACAGCCTAATACTGACTTTGTCAGATGGTTATTAAAAATCACCCTTATGCAAATCTACAATGAAAGAAAGCAAGTAGGGCAAGAAAGAAATGCAAATGCACAATTTGAAAAGAAAAAGATCACCAGGAAATATAATGTTGGAGTTAAGGCTGAAAGAGATAAGGAGTTCAAGGTGTGTATGTCCTGATCTGCACTGGAATAAAGGGAGGGCAAGACTCCAACCAGCTAAACTTCCAACTTGTAAAAGGATTTCCTGCTCCTAGAAAGGGAAAACACATCAAATCTGCTGAAAATGTGATTGGAGGGGCCAAGGCTCACCCCATGGTAGTAGCTAAACTTGGCAATAGATACATGAAGCATACATGAGTAAAGAGGTTATGGAATCTTCCTCTGCAGTTAGGGAGAGATGCTGAAGTCAGACAATATGTGGTAGGGCAGTGCTTACATGAAGGCCCCAAGAGGGCAAGAAATCCTGAGAGGTCATTTTGTGAAGCTGTGAATGTGAAGCCTGGATTGGGTTAGAGGTACCAAGAGGCTAGGGATCTAGTATCGTGAGATACCTGCCAAGGAAAGCTGCATACAGGGAATGGAGCCAGTCCAAGAGAGAAAATGCCTTGAGAACTAAAACTGTATGTTATGGCCTCAAGGGTTGTGTGTTTGAAGTGAGCCTTGCTGATCTAAAAAAACGATGAAGTTTCATTTAGAAATTTAAGCTAACTATTGAGGACATTCTGGGCAAAATCTGTCTGACTAACTTCCATGCAGTGAGTCCCATAGTCAACCAGGCCCTTTCCTCTCCAAAATACATAAGCATCAGAGACTGTTTAGACTCACTCTCAGACAAGACAAACCATAATAAAGATAGACTGCCTGGAAGAAGCAGAGTAGCCTAGCAACCTGGATGAAGCAGAGGCCATCCAAGCTGCCTAGAAGACTCCAGACAGCTGAGATGCTTGGAAGAGGCTCAAACCAACCAAGTCACTAGAAATGGGACACTTTCCAACCTGTTAAACTACCTGAAACTTGTGCAGTATGCTACAGATTTCCAGCTTTTGTGAGCTGCATCCCATGCCTGGATGGGCTTTGGTGATGCATCTGTCTCTGAGTCATTTCTCTTCCTGTAAGTAACTCCAATAAAATTCACTGGTTCACTTCAGTGCTAACCATACTTTTGTCAGTTCCCTATCCCTATCTGGATTGGGTAGACATCTGTTCACACCTCCTACAAGTACCAAACAACATTATTTCTTTGGTCTGTTGCCAGTGCTCTCTGTCTAGGGTGCAGAGACATTTATTTACCCATAAAAAGTGACACAGTCAACTCAAAGACCATTCCACTTACTTCTTTCACAGAGACACAGGCCCACAGCTGTTCAGTGACTCAGACTGTCTGTGCAATAACAATCTATAACACACACAATAGGACTGATGTTCCACAGGTTAATCGCCACAACACTGATCTGCGACACCAAACATGAAACAAGTCTGCAACTGACAGTGCTAGAAACAAACCTGTGGGCATTTTCCCAACCCGTCTGTGTGGCGGCTTCCTCCAAATCTAAAGATCCTATCCTGGAGGAAGAGGCAAGCTCTTAAAACCCAAGATGCTAAAAAACCTTATGCTCAGGAGACTACAAGGTTCACAAGGCCCATTCCCAACGTTACACAGGCAGTAAGCAACTGCTGGAGAGATGAGACCCTCTTGAATGGCACTGAATGTAGGTTTTGCAGGGAGCTCCAGGAATGCAGTTTGTCCCTGGGTTGTTGTCTATGTGTGCACCTTTTAATGGTGGCGCTGCTTTTGACTGACTCACTCCTGTAAGTAACTCTTCCCCGAAGCCCCCGTGCAATAAACTCCTTGGTTCACAAAGCTAGAGGAATGGAATCATTTCTTGGACCTGTCACGAGTGCCCCATGGGGGGGGGTGTAAATAGACATTTGCTCATCGAAAGTTACACAATACTACTGGCATATTAAGAGGCAACAACAGTACTGGACAGCTAGGGTGGTTACACAGAGAAACCCTGTCTCAGGGGAAAAAAGACAAAAGAGGGAACAACAGAAGCAAAGACAAGTTGAGGAAGAACAGTGATGACTGATAACACAGACTGATCTATTTGAAGATGGAAAATGCGTCTGCATAACTCTCCATGAGGTATAAGGTATGGGATAGGGACCCTCCTTACTGTAGTAGCAGACGCACACTCTATGTAATGGGTGGTAAAATATGGAATAAGGTTGAACGAAGAATGAAGAATCCATGGCAGGAGTCCCATGTGGCCATATTTCTCTGCGTAGTATTAAGAGCTGCACCTCTTTGATGAATGGAGTTTACCTTTTAAATGTGGACCACCACTCCCCAAAAATACCTAAAAGATATATTGCAAACCCTAACGTGCTAGGATCAGCAGTGGGCAGTGTTAGTATTTAGGCATTTGTACGGGCCTGCCTTAGGAGTTCTGACAGGATACGCCCACAGTTGCAGCCACTAAGCGCACCACCGGTGCCTAGTCATTATGTTCCCTATTAAAAGGGCCCTGCCCACCTCCCTTCCCCCTTCCCCTCCCCTTTCCCCTCTCCCAGTCCCGGTCCCTCTCCCTCCTCCTTCTGGTGGAGCCTGAAGCAGGAATCCGGAAGCGGCTGCGCCCGACCCAGCCGCAGGCAGATGACGTCACTACGACGTCCAGTGGAGCCCCCACCACGCCGCCTGAAACCTGTGGAGGACGCTTCCCTGCTCACCTGCTGAGCAATGCCTCGGACCCTCACGCTGCTCCAGACGGCCCCGCCGCTTCCAGCGCAGCCGCCACATCTCCACAACTTGGAAAAAGGCCAGGCCAGGGCCCGACTGCCCGCCGCCCCCACCAGCCGGAGTAACATCCCCCCAACCCTGACCTCGCGCCGCCTAGGCGCGCGCAAGCGCATCAGACAGGTCATAGTGCGCCACGCCCCTGTGTGCGCGCGTGCGCAGCAGGCCACAGCATTGGCTGGGACCCGCTTTTTAGGTGTCAGATTCGCAACCGTACTTCTAAAGATCCTCAACAGGAGTGTCACTTTGCGCTGCCTGATGGCTGATGACCCGTGGCCCGCTACCAACTTGACCTAGGCACTAAGGAACGTTTAGACGTATTTTAAATTTGGCATTGTCAACCACACCAATGTTTTGGGCGGGTCCTCAGAGTCTGCTTCCGTGGGTGTACGGGTTAGAGGTGCACCCCGGTATTTCGCGTCCAAGTTAGACGTGCTTCCAACTCTCGTAAACAACGGAACTGTTTGGTACACATCTTGCCTCATTGTTCCCCATCAGAGACCTTTGTTTAGTTTTGACTGGTTAACTGATTGGTATATACAGCCACGTCAGTTTTGACTTGCCAGCTGAATATAATGGGCTTGCAAGAGTAAAGGCAATGGGTTGTATTTTGTTTGCTTTGTTTTGGGTTTTTTGGAGGGAGATTTTTTTTTTGAGACAGGGTTTCTCTATGTAGCTGGTCTTGAACTCAGAGGTCCGCCTGCCTCTGCCTCCCGAGTTGGTTTCTGGTTTTGGTTTGTTGTTGTTGTTGGTTTGGTTTGGTTTTCCGAGACAGGGTTTCTCTGTATTGTTTTGGAGGCTGTCCTGGAACTTGCTCGGTAGACCAGGCTGGCCTCGAACTCACAGAGATCTGCCTGCCTCTGCCTCCCGAGTGCTGGGATTAAAGGCGTGCGCCACCAAAATGGTTTCTATTTTGACAGTTTCATATAGTCTAAGCTGCCCTCAGACATATTTATGCAGCCAAGGTTACTGTGAACTCCTGATATTCCTGCCTCTACCTCCAGAGAGTGTTAGATAATAGTCATGTGCCTCCATGCCCAGTTTATGCTAGAGATCAAACCCAAGGCTGAATGCATGTATCTCTATACATGCTCTTTTCCAATTCAGCTGCATCCCCAGTGTGAATAGATTTTCTTTGTTTCTTTTTGATGCAGGGTCTCTATATAGCACTGGATGTCCTGGAACTCACTATGTAGACCAAGCTGACCTCAGATTCACAGACATATGCCTGCCTCTTCTTCCTGAATACTGAGATTAAAGGTGTATACTACCACATCAAGCTCTGTGAATAAGACCTTAATATCAATGTTAGTTTCCTTTGATAGCTGAATTAAGGCCATGAAAAGAAATATTTGTTTACATACTTATTTTGTTTTGGGGTTTTGTTTGTTTGTTTTTTGAGATAGGGTTTCTCTGTGTGGCCCTAGCTGTCCTAGAACTCATAGACCAGACTGGCCTTGAATTTAGAGATGCATGTGCCTCTGCCTCCTAAGTGATGGAATTAAAAGTATACCACTACATCTTGCTGGAAAAAAAAGGTTTGTTGTTTTATTATTTTATGTGTATAAATATTTTGTCTACATGTATGTATGTGTATCACATTCATGTCTGATGCCTCCAAAACTCAAAAGAGGGCATCAGATCCCATAGGACTAGAGTTAAATATGGTTATAATCTGCCATGTGGTTGCTAGGAATTGAATCCAAGTCCTCTGCAAAAACAACTAGTGCTCTTAACTGCTAAGCCAATTCTCCAGCCTCTGAAAGTAATGTTCTAGAGTAATATAATGTGAATTTAGAAGGGGAAAATATCTGAAAATCAATAACAAATGATTAACACACACACACACATGCTCATGAGTGCACATGCAGACAATAAAAATAAGGTGAACAAGGCAAAAGGCTAACATTTAGGGAATCGAGAAAATGGGCAAATAGGAAGTTTTGCCTATTGTAAAATAAAAGCATCAAAACAAAATACTCGAAACCTGAAAGGGAGCTGTCCACTCCTAGATGGAGGACATCCCAAGTGTAGTGGTTACAGTCCCTGAACTATAGAGGCACATGCATCTCAACCCAGAGTCTTCTTGGCTGTGCCAATAGAAGGAAAGAAATAACCCCAAGTTCTCAGGCTTTCTCTAGCATAGGGTAGCAGCATACTAGCCGATGAAGATTGAATTGTTTGAATGTGTCCTATTTGGGGGAAATCATAAAGCATTATCCCACTCCATGTCCCTAGCTGAGCACTGACTGTGGATACTCTCTTCTCTACCTTTCAAGATTGGGATTTCCGGGGTACACAACCGTGTGGAGACATACTGAAAGAGAAGCCAGGGCATTAAAAACCACTATTCAAGAACAAAGGTAATGGCCTTGAACTGCAATAATGGCACTTTTCCTACATCTGTCTTATAAAGATTAATGATGCTGGGCAGTGGTGGTGCATGCCTTTAATCCCAGCACTTGGGAGGAAGAGGCAGGAGGATCTCTGTGAGTTTGAGACCAACCTGGTCTGCAAGAGCTAGTTCCAGGATAGCCTCCAAAGCCACAGAGAAACTCGAAAACCAAAAAAAAAAAAAAAAAAATCAATGAATATCCCCAGGAGCTAGAGTATAACTCTTGCTGAATCTGCCATGGTTATACAATTGTCTGGTCTCATACTTAAGTAAATAAGATGATCTAGGACTTCAAGAAACAAAGCTCCTACTATAGAGCATTCCTTGCATGCCAAGTACATGTGAAATTCCTGGAACCTAAACCCCAAGGGTACATGTGTGTGTGAGAGCATCCCCATCTCACCCAAATGAAGACCATGAAAAATTGGGAAATTTCTCTACACATTGTTAGAACAGGTTCAGGCCTTATCTGACACCATTATAAATGTTTCTTCCAATAATCCCCTAAATATTATTTATCCCCAAATGTCATATTCAAGTCCATGAAATAGGGAAGGCAAGATGTTTTCCTAAACCTGTAACTGGCTTGTATGTCAATGAACTCTGCTTCATCATAAACCAGTGTAGATATCCCATATTTAATGAGACTGGGACAATGACATAGTTATGACTGGGTCTCCCTGTTGCCAGCCTGGCTCTATGCAGGATACCACTGGATACCACTCATCCATAGGTGTTAGCCATTCAAATGGGCTTTTATGCCTGGCAAGATTATTATTATATTATTGTTACTTTGGGGGGTTCAAGACAAGGTTTCTCTGTGTAGCCCTGGCTGTCCTGGAACTCATTCTG